GTACTGTAAGCTCAAAAGTGAAACTTTGTCCACAAAAATCAAGGGTGAGGAGTTGCCTGTGCCCCAGGGAGGCATAGGATATCATTCAAAGATCACATTAAAATCTCTTGCATGTGAGTTTTGGGAGAACAATCCCTTTATGTACAGACCAAATGTAAATACATTCTGTCTGTGAACTATGGTACTATTTAGCAATCTGTACTGAAATAGAGGCTGTGATGGAGGTGCGTGCCTCTGATAAACGCTTGTGCAACTTTTTTTATGTGGAAGAGTTAAGGCATAGTGGGGAGATCAAACTTTTACCTTTCTCTAGCTAAGAGGCATTATTAAACACACAGGAAGTGACCATGCACTGGTTAGAATTTCTTAGAACTTACAGCTTTCTTTTTATTTTCCTACATTCTTATTTGCTTTACTTTGTGTAACAAACCTGTAAACTGCCTGAAGAAGAAATGAATCTATTTTTGTGTATGTGGAAATACAGCTGTGTTTAGCGTTGTCATTGACAGATGGCTTATGATAATATGTGCCAGATGAAGAGCTACTTTGGAATTAACATGGCAATTCATTATAATCACAGAGACAACATAAGAAAACAGACCAGACATCACTAGAACTGTCCCTTACTGAAGATACTGCTTTGTAAGAGAAACTGGAGTTAATGGCAGAGCCGTTAGCCAATTAATGATAGCAAAGTTCAATGTAGATGATTTTGCCTCTTCAGTGAGTTTTAAATTAAATTTTGTATTTTAACTGATTTATGTAATGCTGTGATCTATATGCATTTTTTGAGTCTATTTATTAAAAAAACATACAATGAATAGTGGTAAAATTAATGCTCCTCAATGATTGCTGTTCATATGTTGTGATTTGGGTACAAATTTTTCATGTAACTATTTCAATAAACAAATGCACTCCGAAAATATCTGAGGAAAAATGTACCGGTTTCAACTGAAAAAAAAAAAAAATATCCCGGGTATTATTGGAAATAGAGTTTTTAAAATGTTAATATATTGTAACAGCTGCTGTATTTATGCTAAAATAAAGAACTCTTTGACTGTGTTTTTGAGTCCTGTACCTTTAAGAAATGTGGTGCATTTTTGCTACTCACAGCTCTTGTTTATTAGATAATTGAAAATGCTGCCTCTTGGTGGGAAGCTTTAAACCAGAGGCACGGGTTACAGACTGATGTTGAAGTATATAGATTACTGGACTAAAGATTATTTTGAGGTGGAAAAGCTGAAGAGTGACTCTATGATACATAAACATAGTAAATTTTTGTTTTTCTAGAACCATATGGCCTGATAACAAAATGTTTCTTTGTTCATCAAAATAAGCCATTTTTACTATTTTGTATGGTACGTTATATTGTATTCCTTTCCTTAGGTAGGTGTAAAAGTACAGAAGAGAAACAACCCTCCTGCAAAGTATTTATTGATTTTCTTTTGAACGGTTATGTGGGAATAAAAAAAGCAAAAAAGCCCTGTAGTTTTACAGTTTCAGTCATTTTTAATGTCTTCTACACTCCCACAATGGGGAGGGACAGGGCTGATGTAGCAATATAGTGTAACCTTCCAATGAAGTGATAGCTGGGGCAGTAGTAGTAATCTGATGTGGAATGGAGATGCTTGTGGGAGTAGGCTTTCATTTATTTAACTTCTATGTTAATGTAATGTTTTAATTCTTTCATCCGTTTTGTGTTTGAAAGGCATTGCTATGTTCCAGCTCTATTATGAGTAGCTTCGAATTAGTTAGCAAATGCATTTTGTAATTGCTTGTTATTGGCATTTAAAATAATAATTAGCTGTTATGGAAGTGTTGAACTTCATTTTTTATGAAAGTGTAGAAGAGCAGTACAGTATGTATTGGATGATTCACATCATGCTTTGGCATAATGCCAAAAGAGGAGAATTTAGAGCTTAGCCAGAGGTCCATTTAAGATTACAGGCTTACGAATTTTGAAGAAACAGCTGGAAGTCCCCAGCCTAACTTTCTGCTCAAAGCAGTGTAAGGTAGCATGGCTTGATCAGTTCTATGCCTAGCTTAGCTGAACACGCAACCTCTTTGGGCAACCTGCTGCAGTATTGTACTGCCCTCACACTGGACAGCTTGCTTTCATTAGTTAGCCTTTACTGTAGTATGCTGGGTTGAGTGACTTTGTTTCCCCTTTACATTCTTAATAGGTAGCTGGTGACTGCAGTAATGTATATCACTGTTTCCACTCCTGTTATTCTCTGTGGAAGACTGAATTCAACTTTCACATCTTTTGAGACATCCTGTGCTTCAGCCGCCTGTTCACATCTGCAACCTGTCATTAGACTTGCTTCAGTGTTTCAGTGTTTGCTTTGTGCTGGGTAACTCAATGCTGGATGTGGTTGCAAGTGTGGCCTTGAGTGCTGAACAAAGGTTAAGAATCCTTCCCTTGAACCACCAGCTATGTATTTGTAAGAACAGCTCAGTAAACAGTTGGCTGCCTTTGTCACAAGAGAATAGTACTGAATCCTATACAATTTGCTGTGCAATAGTATTCCATCCTGTTTGTTCTAACCATCTAGATGACTATAACCAGCCCGAGTGGGATGATTGTCTTAGGTGCTGGATGGTGCATTTGCTCCAGCTTAAACTTGTAAGAGTACTGCCAGCTAATTTTTCCAGTATTCTGAAGTCCCTCAGAACAGCATCCCTTCTTCCTTTGCTTAATGACTCTTTCTCTTCCTATGGGTTCTTCCTGCACCTCCAATTTAGTATTGTTGTAAACAAGCTGAGAGTGCACTTTATATCATCAAGGTTACAAACAAAACAGTTAACCAGTTCTGGTCTCTGAACAACACTACTTGTTTCCAGATAGATCTCTTATCAATAATGACCATTATTGGAAGTCCAGCCCAATTTCCATTAATCTCAGTCCAAATAGTCAATCCTAATTGACTATTAGCAGGACACGGGATAATGGCCGCAAGCTGTATCAGAGGAGGCTTAGGGTTAGACATAAGGAAGAACTTTTTCTCTCAGAGAGTGGTCAGGCACTGGAATGGCCTGCCCAGAGAGGTGGTGGAGTCGCTGTCCCTGGCAGTGTTCAAGAGGCGTCTGGATGACGTGCTGCATGATATGGTTCAGTGCTAGTGGTGGCAAAGATGATGAGGAGACGGTTGGACTAGATGATCTTGTAGGTTGTTTCCAACCATGTGATTCTATGATTCTAATTTCATCAATTTGAGCATAACATTTTTTTTTTTTTGCATGTTCCTGTCTCAACTGCTCTTGAGAAGGAGGTGACAAATTCCATGTTTTATAGGTGGTCTGTCTTCATGTGACTCTTTGAAGATGAGTTACTGCACCTACTACACACAGTATAATTATACTCACCTTAAGAACTTCAAGTTTTCTGTTTCACATAGCTTTTCTTCACTTCTGAGTCAGATAGCAAAAGAGATTACCATGCATGCCCCAACTGGTCTAATTTAAATAAAGACCTATGAATGTGGCTTCTACTTGATAAAATTCCTTTACTAAAACATATTTTCAAAGTAAGTTGGTGTGAATAAAGGTGGAAAACTGGGTACTTAACACTTTGGCCTTGTTTTCAAGAGAACAGCTCCACTGTGACCTCGTATAATTCCTACCACACCACTCCAGTATTGATTCTTGCATACCATAACTTCTTACACTGATATGTGTAAGAATATAAGGTGATATATATATAATGTATATAAGGTGATATATAATGATATAAGAACTTCTATCAGTAGTATGTTATTCATACTACCTACATTTGGGAAACATGACCTCTGTTCATTACTACATGAGGAACTAGGTTTCCACAAGTGTTGGGAGCCACAAAAACCATGACAAAAATCACAAATAAAATTCTGCAGCACTAGCATTTGTCTTTTCAAGGACAACAGCCAATCCTTCTGAAAAATCTAATTTTCAAGGTGTGTACGAAGGGGAGATTTTATTGTAAAGAAAAAGTAAAACAAAACTCCTAAATATTTCTAAAGCATAGAAGTTGAAATTTTATAGATACATCTTTTAAGTACATGTCAAAAACCACGGAAGTATGTGGAGTATTGCTACTCAATAGTTAATTCATCTATACGTCTTATCTCTTACAGCTGATCAAAATGAAAGATGTTTTCCTATTCTTGTCTTTTCTTCAAATTTTCAATTTTATTTCTTATTCTTTATTTTTAAAGATGTGCCATTCACATTTGCCCATTTTTCAAATGTAGCTGTAGCAATTAATATAATAATGCACTTAAAGTAATTTTAACTTTTTTGAAGAAGAGTATGGCTGGCAGGCATCATTTAACGTAATTATTTTTGCTGTAGGGATTGAACATCACCCAATTCATTTCATTTCTATCTAGCTGTGAATGAAGTCACATAATCAGAAATGTGGACTATAAAGATATCGATCAAACCATTCTGAGTGGGGTAACCATCAGAAAATATGACGGAATACCGTCAGAGGACCTCTAAGGTTAATTGCTTTGGCAAGCTCTGTAAGATAGATGAAAAGTTGGCTCACTGACTGAGGAGCGCCTGTATTGGCACATTCCTGAGCTTAAACAAATCATTTTTGTTAGCATCCAATTCTAGGTTTTTGTTGATTGCTCAGTTTCAAAGGTTAAGTATTTAAAGCTATCATAAAGAAAAAAACTTTTTTAGAAGATCAGCACTGGGGAGAGAAAAGATCAACTATGTTCTCATTCAAGTTGAGCAAGGAGTCATGCACTGTAACCGGTATTTGGTATTGTACGTACAAAAGCACAAAAGCCTATTCTAAAACAGTAGCTTCACCTTCTGTTTCAACAACAACAACAACAACAACTAAAAAACAAAACCAAAAAAAAAAAACAAAAAAAAAAGGCAGAAATGTGGTCAAGCACTACTTCATTTTAGACTTAATGGTGGATCTGAATAGTTTTAACTTCACAAGCTATGCTTCAGAGCCCAAACAGGTATGCTTAAACATGAATAAAGACAAATTTAATGGTGAATACTGTTAGCATGCTCTGTTGTATTATGTCAAAAACAATCCTTTCCCAAATGCCCAAATAAAATCAAATGATTGTGCATTGCATGATGATACCATTAGATGTGCAACTTTGGTTCATGCAAAGTTTCATTTGATAGACACATTGCTGATAGTCCATATAATCCTGAAGATTCTGCATATGTAATCTTTTCATCCATGTTCTTTCCATAACACCAAATGGATACTGTGGTCTGGCATACTGGTGGCAAAAACCAAGCCTGTATCATTTTGACCATTTAGTCCATTTAACCAAGACATTTCACCAGCCAAAAAACTTGAGCCTCTCTTTGATTTTCTATACTCTGGTAGAGGCCAGCGGCTTATCAGTTCTTCTGTCCTCAAGTCTATTATATACAGGTATCTATTATCAAACAGTAGAGCAAATATCTCTCCAAAGCCCAGCAAGGACACATTTGAGAAGTCAGGAGTCTTGATAACCCTAGAAGATAAGGCAGTATTGTTAGAAACTGATAGATTTCACTAACATTCCACCAAGTTATTGAGAATGACATATCTCAGTTCAGCAGTGCTATAAGGAAATGGTCTTTTAAATATCGTTTCCCATCAAATGACTCCCAGAAAAGGTCTTCTGCTTCACTGCAGAGCAATTCCCATAGCAACATTAGCTTCTTGTCACTACAGCTTTGTGTTCAAAACTATAGCAATGCAGCCTGATTTAAGTCCATTTAAAAAAATCTAAAACTCACATATTGAAAATATGAAAGAGGTTTGGCTTGTGACCAGAAATCAAAACAGCAATCAAATGGTTGGTACAATTGGAGATAAATTAGAGTGAAACCTGGCAATATTTGTGAAGAATGATATTTAAAGATTTTTTAGTCGAGACCCTTTTGAATGACATTTAAAGCATTAAAGCTAACATGCTACAGTTCTTACTTTTTTTAAAAGCATGCCTTGAGAATAAATTCTGCACATCTTAAGCTGAAACACTTACCTGACAATATCATAGCTGGCAAAATCCCACTGGTATAATCCTAGTGCTGAACTGCACACTATGTATTTACCATCAAAGTGCAATCTGGGCTGTAGAGAGATGCTGCGATCTTCAGAAACAGACAGTGTTTTTAAACACTTGCAGTTTATTTCCCTTCCAATAGGCCAAATCTAGAGTTAGAAAACAGTTTAAGACCATAAAACATTTAAATTATAAACTTTTACACAAATTAAACAAGGCTTACAGTCTCATGTAAAGCAGGAGGTAAATGTGTGCCTGTTTTTCAAAAATATTTATCTTCTTTAATGGGAACATCAGCTCTATAACTGACTTGTAACACATAGCCATGAACTATTTACATACAGCATCCTCCAACCCAATAGTTTGCAACAATAGCAGTATTTGCAGTAAGTGTCTCACTGACAAGTTAGCGTACTAGGCATACAGTAAAAAACACTTATATTTTGACTTTTATTATATGTATTGATCTACTATTTGTTTGTAAGCATGAAGGAAATCAGTGAATAGTTAGCTTCCGAAGAGTTTTTTTGCCTTGTACATGTCTTCAAAAGCGAGGACTATTAGAGAAAAAAACCACATATTATGTTTGAATCACAGAAGCACTCAAGTATTCTGCTTCCTTGGATATTGCAATGATACATGTACAATATATGGTACATACCTTGATTTCATACTTATCTGCACTTAAAAGAATATAATCCCCAGGACTATGCATAAGAGATTTGACTTTGCACTTCTGCAAAACTACCTGTAATTGAAGGATTTAATGACTTATTTTGATGCTGTTAACTAACCAAGCATTCATTTGCATTGTCCATTTTGTTACAAAACAATACACCACACACATGGTCAAAAGACATACAGATGCTTATAGCACGTAAAGCGAAACTACCATTTACACTTGCTTGCTCCTAATAGTAAGAACTTTTCGTATATATCAGCTAACACATGTACTTCTCCACAATTCTGCTCTCAATGCACATTCCAATTTCAGAAATGCTTGTAAGTGGAATACCTTTTCTAAACCTCAGAACACTTTATGCTTAGATTTTGGTTATCACATTCATTAGTTTTCTATATAATTTTAAAAGTAGCTTTCTTTCTGAACCACTGCATTCATTTGATCTTTCAAATGCTGATTCCTAACATTATTCCAGCTACTTCAGAACAGAAATCTCTTCAATCCCCTGAAAAGTTTAGTTACATCTTTTCTTTCTGTTTAAACATTATTTTGCAATATCTACATGTCCTGATCTTCTTCATATTCTATACCTAGGGGGAAGACAGGTATTAGAAATAGAAAGTTAGAACAACTTGCAAACTTCATGCAAATATTCACCAAGATTAATACAAAAACAATATTCCCACCTTAGTGACCCATTCTGTATGTCCAGTAAGGGTATTCAGGCACGTTCCTGTTGATAAGGCCCACACTTTCACAGTGAAGTCTGCAGAGCCACTGACAAGAACATCAAGTTCATCGTTGTAGTCCACACTAAAAACTACAAGCAAAGAGGGTTCTCAAAAGCAGCAACATTCTCCATGTATGCTTTTTCCTGTGATACTGTAACTAGGTCAAAATTGACTATTACAGCTTTAACTGTTGCTCTTGAACTGTACACGTAAATTATTACTCTATTCCTGAGTTTACACTGCAAAATTACCAGCTGTTTGTTCAAATTAAAAGCATGAAGATCATTGGTTCCATTAAGGTTGGATTATGTTGAGGTTCCTATCCTAATAGTTCTAAGAAATCAACTCCAACAGAATTATTAAATTGATACATCTCATTTCTCGTGGAGAACAGACCTACAGTTGAGTGGAGGATATTCTCTGGTAGAGGACAGAATTAAGACAGAAATGCAAACACAGATCCCCAGGCTTGATTGTGCTCTTTCCTATAAGACTATCTCCAGTGTGGGAATTTAAAGAACTCCCACTGTCATGTGCTCCCTGCTAACAGGTGATAAACAAGGCTTGCATCTTTTACTCTAGACTCTAAAGCACTAAATCACCATGACAGTTCTGTTTCTACACCTATAAAACAATATATGACTATGCTTTGGTGTTATTCAAGGGCAGACAGATCTAGATCTATTCTGGCCACTTCCCTCCCACAATGTGATTTGAGACAGAGCCTTAAAAAACTGTAGACAAAGCTAACTTAAATTATAATCTGTTCTATGATGACATATGTTACTTGACTGACGAAAATAAAATCTGAGATGTTCAACATACCTGCGCCAGTGTGTCCTCTGAAATGCTGTGTTTTTGCCCCAGAGCTCCATTCCCAGCAGGCTACTGTGTTATCAAAAGAGCCCGTTACAAGTTTTTGTTCATCAAACTTCACTGTGGCACAAGTGTGTGTCTGGATACCATAGATGCATTGACCTGTGCTTACATCCCACAGTTTTGCAGACAAGTCATCTGATCCTGGAATATAAAACAATAGGATAATTGGAAACAAATACTAAATAAAATTACTAGTCTTCCATGTAAGTCTTAGTTATGGAATTTTCACCAAATCTCTGAAGAGATAAACTCACAACCTCTCTGAGCAACCTGTGCCAGTGCTCCATCTAATGCTTTCACCTGCATTTCCTTTCTCCACCAAAACTTATAACAGTACTCAAGTTTGCTGGTTTTGGAGACTGGACAAAAATCCTAGATACTTCCACCTCCTTTTTCCCTTTTGGTTTCAGCACAGAAGTATGCAGCTTCCCAGTAAGGTCTGACCTATTCCTTTGTACTTTCCTTCCCTGGTTACTAGTAAAGTGAAAAGACTGTCTACAGTCTAGTCACAGGTTTCTAGTAACCACCCTAGTGTACCTGAAGATGTGGAGGGATGTGTATTTCTGAGTTCACACTGAAATCTTGAAATCTGCAGTCTTCAGGAGAAACCATCACTGCAATATGCATATCGGATTAGTAGCAAGGTTAAATCTAGTTAAAGGTATTCATACAAGAAACTAGTCATGTTAAGAACTGAAAGTGCTTAAGGATGTAAAAGAGAAATAATCTTATTGCCAGGAAGCCAGACTTTTCCTGACACACCTTGAGACTACAGTGACCATATTGTGAGACCAAACTCCATTTAACCTGAATGAGATCGCAGATAACCCCTAAGAGGATACCTAACACAAATGTACTTCTCCAGTGAGATTGCTAATCTGAAACTGAAAATCTGAAAAAAAACAGTACTGTAACCATTTCTTATTTTAAAAAATAAATAAATTGGTCTCCTGGTTTTGTTTTTTTTTGTTTGTTTTGTTTTTCCTATTAAATGTTTAGCGAGCTTGATAGCATACCAGATATTTCAGAAATCGGAGGAAAAAAAAAAAAAAAAAAAAAAAAAGTGAATTGCCCTAAACTGAGTTTACCCTATGAAAATAATCTGTCTCCTCAAGAAAAATCAACTTATCATTAATCAAGTAGGGGAGCTGGGTGGTACAGATAACAAAGAAGAGTAAGACTCCAAGTTTTCTGAATTTCCTACCTGTGCACAGAAGACCATCTTTATAGTAAAGTGCATACACTCTGGCACTGTGTCCAATTAAAGAGGATGTCTCAAAGGCTTCGTGGTCCTTCAGTTGCTTCATCCTTAAAATAGCCTTTAGGTAAACCTTCTTCCAATGCAGAGGATCCTGAACAGAGTCATCTATTTGCCAACCCAAATTCTTACATGCGGTTTGCCACACCTCTGTACAGGCACTTATAACCTTATTCCACTGCTTAGAGACGAGGCAACATGTGAGTAAGGTGTGAGGATCAAGCCATTTTAACAGATAAAAACTAAGTTCCAATGGAAGAAGTTTGAGGAAGTCCCTCTTGAGAAGAATCTCTAGATTATTGGAGAGGTGCCTGAGCTGGACTGCTCCACTCAAGCTAATCAGGTGATCCAGAGTTTCATTTTTCTGCAAGTCCGTCAGAGAAAGAAATGTAATAGAAATGTTATCAAGCCATGCTTCAAAGTCCTTTTTCTCCATAAGGTTATGGAAAAATTTACCTGTGGTACATCAAAACACTGTATTAGTTCTGTTCAGAAAACAAGGTAAGCATCACATCATTATTACTGGTACATCAGTACTTCAAGTGGCATGTTAAAGCACAGACTGAAGTAACCAATCACAGCACAAAATATTCATTAGGTTAGTATGAAGCATTTGCACATACTTCGACCTACTGTCTTACTTAAGACTTAGAAGTGAGTTGTACAAGACAATGCATGCTAGCATTCACTATGAATGTTTACATATTTCGTGTAATGAGTTAACATTTTCACATTCTGAATCTAGTAAGAGTTGATCAAGTTTTAAATCTACTTTAGTGAATAAATGCCGTTTTACAGTTTACTTATCATTTAGTTGAAAAAAGGAAGAAAACAAAGCATAAAAACAGAATAATAAGAGGCTAATTACTGACTGAATTAACTCAGACTCTTGTCATAACTACTTCATAAAAAATTACCTGGTTTGCACTTAAAGAAGATACAAAGAGATGTCTGGAGAATTGTGTTGAAGGACATGTAACCTCTTTTGTACCTTGATGTCTTTTTTTTTTTTTTCCTTATAAAACAAACTTCCCCTCCTCCTCACCCACCTTGTTTTCTCAGTTTATTTCCAATAAACAGGCCTGTGAAACTGACAGCTCGAAATGCTAATTCTCAATCTATGTGATCTGTATTTATTTTTGTATGCTGTGGCATTTCAAGTTCCTACAGTAGATTTGAGCAAATGATTAAAAAGATGAGCATGGGGCAAACAACTAAAAAGCTAGATTTATTTTCTGTAGTAGATCTCATTCAATGCGTTAGATATCTAATTGAATTTAATTCATAGAAGCTCCCAAATCAAATGAATTGAGGAATGTAAATGGCAGCTCACAATACATATGCTTTTACCTTTGTAGAATAAAACCTTGAAGTACATCTCTAAATGTGACACAGAAAAGTATAGAAAAGTAGAGTCTTCACTATGAAAGGCTACAAACGTAAAGACATATTACTTCTTGATAATTTTGTAAGGATTATATCTTAAAGATAATAATCTTAAGGCCTTCTTAATTACACAGAAATAGCTGCTCCTATCGAGTTAGAAGTTCATAAGTAACTTTTACTACTGACAAAACTTAAGGGCTTTCTTCAGCACATTCGGCAAACTGTGTTTGCCACTCTAATAGGCACATGTTTTCTTAAGAACCAGCAATCTCTAACTGCAGCCAGTGCCATGTGCACACTGCTCTACGCGTTATCCGTAACCGCTCCACTCACGGCCACTCCCGCCCTGCTCCGCTCGCACAGAGCACGGCGCAGCCCGGACACTTTCAGCGCCTTCCGCCCACGCACAGTAGAACCATCGGCACCGCCCACACTGCTCCAGTGGGCCGCGGCGCTCACCTCAGGTAGCGGCAGGGCGCGCAGCGTCCCTCAGCAGGCAGCCGCCACACCTCGAACGGTCCTCCGTGGCCCGGCAGGGGCTGAGGCTTCCCCGCGGCCATCGCTCCCACAGCAGGACAGTCTCCCGCTACTTCCGCGGTCCGCGCCGCGGCCTGTGGACACCCATGGAAGGCTGCCGCCCTCGGACAGCGATGGAAGCCTCGGTCACCTCCAGTCCCAGAGGAGGGGCGGGGCCCCTGCACCGAGTGAATCAGCCGTCACCCCGAGGTGAGGCACTCCACCAAACCCCACGGCGCTCCGTACTCAGGCAGCTTCCGGCGCATCCTCTAAACGTCACTACGCCCCGCTGTCTCACTTTAGCCGTTTCCGTCTGAACTGGAGCCGTAAAGCGCTGCGTTACTTCTCTGCGTTCGGCGCCGTGCGCGAGTTGGAGCGTGCCCTTTGGGGTGGCTGCCGCCGGCCGTGCAGAAGCTGCTGAGATTATTGGCGCCGAGGCGCCCTCCCGCGGCTGGGACATGGCGGCAGAGGAGTCTCAGTACCTGCTGGCTCATCCTACTACGGACGCTTACCTGAGGTGAGGATTGGTGCTGCGTCTCTTCCTCTGGCGGGCTTAGGGGCCGCCCCGCTGCGCTGGAGCTCGGCTGCTGCGGATTTCGATGGCGCGGGGGGGGAACGCGGAAAATGTGACGTCTGGGTCAGAGCCTTCGTCGGGTCCATCCGCGCGTTAACGGCCCCATGAGGGGCCGGAGCCGCGAGGGGGCGGCGGCACGATCCTTGTCGGTATCTTCCGCCTCAGAGTGCAAAACAAGAAGCTGTACCTGGCCACGTTCGCTGCTGTCCTGGGACCGCTTAGCTTTGGCTTCGTGCTAGGCTATAGCTCACCTGCTATTCCAGAGCTGAGGAAAATTGGCAATCCGAAATTACGGTTGGACAGCAATCAGGCATCATGGTTTGGGGTAAGTTTCTGTATGATACATTACTCTCTTGTGATTTTCCGTCGTGGTGTGAAGAAGATGCTGTTTACATAAAATCATTAAGTGTGGAAAAGACTGCAGAGATCATCAAGTCCGTCACCCTCATGCATGTTTCTCAGTGCTGCATCTTAAGGCAGTCTAACTCCTCTTAAGAATGAATATAAATGAGGATTTTGATAATGATTTTTTGTTGTGACCTCAGTAATTGATTCCGTTTTTTCCTAAGTAATACTACTGTTATACTCTGCTAACTTCGCACATATAAATAAATGCCGTTATTTTTGTAACTTTTTTGATACTATAATGTTTTATGTCAACTTTTAGTCTCCTTAATTGAACCTGTCAAGGGACCACAGAAAATCAACTTGTGAATAAATTGGGTGCAATCCATTGACATAGGGAATATCAACTTTTGGGGTACAGGCTGGACTTCAGTTTATTCATGATAATCTTTCAGTCTTCAGGGCTTTAAAACAGATTGGAAAGCCAGTTTGTGAATGAACAGATAAAAAAAACCATACTGTTGCATTTCTTTCTCCACTGAAAGGGCTTTGTATGTGACCTGAGAATTGCTAGCTGTCCAATTGTGGTGGATTGTACTTCTTGACTGTGATTTGATAAGAAGTTAATATTTTGTTTTTTCAAAAGAACTGCATGCATATATTTTTTGGAAGCTATTTATTTAAAAGAATTTTTAGTGTGTTATTTATATATCTATATAGATAGATGTGTATGTATATATATCCACGGAATCATAGAATCATGGAATCCTTGGATTTGGAAGGGACCTCTAAAGGCCATCTATTCCAACTCTTCTAAAGTGAACAGGGACATCACAGCTAGTGTCCAGGGATGGGGCATCGTCCATTCCAGATGGAATGCTGCATCCAGATTCCTGTGTCCAGATGTGGAGTCCTCAGTACAGGAGAGATGTAGATCTGTTGGACTGTCTGCAGAGAAGGGCCACAAAAATAATCCATGGAATGGAACACCTTTATCTGTGAGAACAGGCTGAGAGAGCTGATGCTCTTCAGCCTGGAGAAGAGAAGGCTGCAAGGTGACCTGATGGTGGCCTGTCAGTATACAAAAGAGAGCTACGGGAGGGAAGGGGACAGATTCTTTAACAGGGTCTGTGGTGACAGAACAAGGGGAAATTTAGGTTAGATATAAGGAAAAGATATTTTGCAGTGAGGGTGATGGAGCAGCGGAACAGGTTGCCTAGTGTTGTAGTTGATGCCCTATCCCTAGAGATTTCAAGGCGAGGCTGGATAAAGCCCTGGGCAACCTGATCTAGCTGGGTGTCTCTGTTCATTGCAGGGGAGTTGGACTGGATGGCCTTCAGAGGTCCCTTCCAAATCTAAGCACTCTATGATTCTATGATATGTATTTCTTAACTTGTTTTTTGAAGTCTCTAGTGACATTAGGAGCTGCTGCTGGAGGAATACTGGGAGGCTACCTTGTGGATAAAATTGGAAGAAAGCTGAGTCTGATGCTGTGTTCAGTACCATACGTCTGTGGATATATTGTCATTATTTCCGCTCAGAACATATGGATGCTTTATTTTGGACGAATACTAACTGGCTTAGCCAGTGGAATTACTTCGCTTGTTGTTCCAGTAAGTAGAGCATCATTTCTGGTCGCGAGGTGGCTTGGGTGTAGTAACTCAGTAATTCTAGCAAAGGAAGCAGATTTAGAATAAACTGATTGTTATAGACTCATATTTTGCATGCTTTTAATAATGATGAAAATGTAAGTAAAAAAAAAGCTTTGCTTATTCTAGAAGCGCTTCTGTACTATGCATTATTACAGTGATATGCTTGTTCCAATTTTTCTTTTGTCTATTCATTGATAGAGGAGGGCCACAAAGATGATCAGAGGGCTGGAGAACCTCCCCTAAGGAGCCAGGCTGAGAGATCTGGGGCTGTTCAGCCTGGAGAACAGAAGGCTCCAAGGAGACCTTACAGTGGCCTTCCAGTACCTGAAGGGGGCCTACAGGAAAGCTGCAGGAGGGACTTTTCTGTAACAGCCAGTAGCAAGAGGACAAGGGGAAATAGTTGGAAGAGGGTAGATTTAGACTAGATATCAGGAAGAAACTCTTCATGTGTGGTGGTGAGACACTGGAACAGGTTGCCTAGTGAGGTTGTGGATGCCCTTTCCCAGGAAGTATTCAAGGCCAGGCTGGATGGGATTGTGAGCAACCTGGTCTAGAGGGAGGTGTCCCTGCCTATAGCAAGGGGGTTGGAACTAGATGATCTTGAAGATCCCTTCCAAACCAAACCTTTCTGTGATTCTGTGATTACTTCTGCTTATATTCTGCAGTGGTCAAATCATATTTATCTCTTTACGTTTTATATAAATAATGGTAAAGGCTTAAGGTTTGCAATTAGACCATTATCACTTATAAATCCTAGTGCAATGCAAGTAGAATCATAGAACAGAATCGTTTGAGTTGGATCTTTAAAGGTCATCTAACCCAGTTCTCCTGCAGTGAACCAGGACACCTACTGCTAGATCAGGGTACTCAGAGCGTGCTCTAACCTGACTTTGAATGTCTCCAGGGACAGAGCATCCACTAATTCTTATGAGCAACCTCTGAGCAGTGTCTGTGCTTCACTGCCCTTAAAAATTTTTTTTCTTATATCTACTTTAAATCTCTCCTCTTTTAGTTTGAAACCATTTCTCCTTGTCCTGTCACAGCAGACCCTGCTGAAGAATCTGTCCCATTCTTTCTTACAGCCCTCCTTTCGATAGTGAAAGGTTGCTATCTGGTCTCTCTGGTGTCTACTCTGTAGTGACTTCTGCTTCCATTGAACTGTTATCTTCAGAATATTAACTTTTCTCATGTATTCAGAAATATCCTTGCAGCAGTATAACCGAAATAATTTGTGCTTGTCTTTCTTTTCTGGTATTATTTGACCTATTAGGTGATTTGACCTATGTGATGCCTGCTGTTCATACATGTTAAGATAAGAACCATTAATTTTGGATTTTCTGGAGAATGAAATAAAATCCAGTCTTTACAGTGAATTAAAAAGTTACAACTTAAGATTTGCAAAGACTTTTACGTGTGGCTTGGAGTTTGCGTTCCTGCAGACTATCCCAAGCACCAGAGTGTTCTGCAGTGATGCATTTGTTGTTGAATATGGCTAGCAAAGGAAGCCCTTACTAACACAAGTTTATTTATCTGTCAGATCCTTAACTGACAGCATAAAAATTCTTCTTAGGGTCTCCCTTTTTCTGTTTTTTTTTTTTTTTTTTGTAATGCTAATATGTATTTATGAGATGATACTGTTCTACCCTCTCCATTTTGCTGTGGCTTTTTTTGAGGAGGGTTTCTAGGAAATACATCCGGTTTTCAGAAACAAATTATTTCTCTACTTCTTGATCCTACGTTGGATTGAGGTAATTATTAGACATTTTCTCCCTGTTTTAGGTATATATATCGGAAATATCTCATACAAATGTTCGTGGTATGCTTGGCTCTTTTGTCCAGTTGATGGTGGTGACTGGCATACTTGGAGCCTACACTGCAGGTATTGGGGTTAGGTCTCTATAAAAAAGAATTAGTACACGTAATGAAAGAACTACACTAAGGAATTGAAAGCAAATATCAATTCATTTCTACAACCATTAATTTTGTTGTACAAATGTTAATTCTTCTGGAACTGATTTTTTTTTCTTTTTTTTCCTTTTTGTTGTGCAGGAATGATACTAAAATGGCACTGGCTGGCAGTATTATGTTCTTTTCCACCATGCGTAATGCTTTTGTTTATGTTGTTCATGCCTGAAACACCAAGATTTCTGCTGGATCAGAAGAAACACACAGAAGCAATAGCTGCTTTACAGTTTCTGCGAGGACCATTTGTGGACCATGAATGGGAATGCAGGCAAATTGAAGCTAATGTTGAGGAGGAGGTGATGAGAATCTGATTTACACTAAAGACAAAAAGTCTGAAAGTATACAGTGTAGTTTAAGGATTTTTATCATAGCTTAGTTAATAGCCTTTTCTACAGTGTGAACCTGTTCAATCACAAATGAACTTAAAAAGCAGTGACATTCAAATAATCTTTTTTCTTCTGCTTTCCAGCTGCAACTGCCAGCAGTGTTGGATGCCACTGGTATGCATGAGTAGCAGTTGGGCTCATGATCTTACTGTGACGATAGATAGCTATGTTTTCTTATTGTAACTGGCAGTTTTATAGGATTGTTCCGCACCTCAAAAACTTATTTGCTATTGCACCACTTCAAAAGCAATCTTTAACCTCTTGTAATGAGATACTAGCTTAGACAGACATGTCCAGTAATTGAAGTCTTATTTCTGCAAACTATTGATTCTTTCATGTTAACTTTCTCCGCAAAGTACTGTTGATTTTTGTCTCTAGAAACTGAGGAAATGCTAAAAATATTTTCCTGGATTTCTCGTACTTCAAATGTAAACACTTTTACTACTAAGAAATTTAATTTTGCTGAAGAGGGGTGGAAAACTTACTCTTTGAACATAGTGAAATGTTCTGAGGATTTTTATTTTTTCTTCATTTAAAATACCGTTTTTTCATGGAACTGTTGCATCATCTTTTTTAACAGGGACAAAGCCTCTTTGAATTTAAGAATCCTTCAATCTACAGGCCACTTCTTATTGGTGTGATTCTGATGTTTCTCCAGCAAGTAACAGGCATTAATGCAGTTATGTTTTATGCAGAAACAATCTTTGAAGATGCAAACTTCCAGGTAATCAGAGTGTGCTGTCAAATGCCTATAGTTTCAGCTTGGTGCTGAATAAGTATAGAACATGTAACTAACTGACTTGATATTTATCTTATCTGCATCATAAGTAACAGAGTTTGAGTGTTAATGGTCACTTTTTATTTTAAATTACAGATACCCTCTTAACTGTGTTACTCTGGCATAACTGGATGTTACTGGGTTTTGTTTTTTTTTTTTTTTGTGGGGAAGCATGTTTTGTCTAAAACTTTGATATGGATAGAAATCTTTATTATAGTCATCTCATCCACATAACATAACTTTTTTTAAAAATGCAGTTACAAATTTAGTGCTTCAGAAAAAGTCAGATGCTAGGGGGAAGTTGTGACTTATTAAACAACTTACTAAGAGATCAATATGTTATGTTAATTAATGTGGATGTCTTTATTTTATTTTTACGTATTTCTTCTCCTAGTTAATTTACTTTGTACAGTTTTCCTTGTTCCAGAATTAAGAAAGAAATGCATCTTTAATGCCTGATAAGTGATCCTGTTATCAGCCTGAAATAGCAAATTCTTCTCCCTGTTTCCTATTTTATTTCAGGACAGCAGAATCGCTTCTGTTGTTGTGGGTTCCATACAAGTATGTTTCACTGCTGTGGCTGCACTTATCATAGATAAAACCGGAAGAAAAGTGCTGCTTTATGTGTCTGGTAAATTAACTTACTGACTTTTGTTCCCTGAGAAGAAACATGTAGAGTACCAGAAAGCGTTGGAACTACTGGGGGAATTGAGTGTTACAATTTATTTATTTCAAGTGCTTTGTTTTATAAGTGGATTACAACTGATGTAATAAGCGCTGCTTCATAAGAGGAAATTGTCATGATATATATACTTTGTTGGCTGAACTCCTTGAAATTACTTATAGCTATCTTTTTGTCTTTACCAGGCCTATTTTTACTTCGGACAAATTGTTGATAGTTGTCACACTGCACACTCAATAGTAATGACTGCTGTAAAGACTGGTTTAATTTGTGTGTGCAATGATTGACATTTTTTCATTCTTGTTTAGGCTAATGTTTATTTTCAATAGTGTTATCTATCTTTTCAGAAACACTTCTGCTAGAGCTAGAGCCAACATATCTTGCATTTAGCTCTCAGAAAGAAGAGTACCTAAGCAACTATCATTGCCAACTTAATTATTGCTTACTTTTCAGGGATAATCATGGCTCTCAGTACTGCATTGTTTGGGTTTTACTTTAAAATGGTCCTTCCAAATGGGAACAACTCATCAAATGCTGATCTGTTGTTCACTTTCAACTCAGTATCTCCAGGAACAGAAACTAGACTATCCTGGCTTGCAGTAGTAAGCTTAGGACTCTTTGTTGCTGGTAAGTAGAACTGGCTTCTAAATAAATATTACATGAAGTTTGAACTTTCTGGTGAATGTGACAGACTTCTTCCATTTTCTTCACATTGTTGAAAAATGGAGCTGTGTTTGACACAGTTTTTTAGTGTATTAGACAAAGTGATGCTGATTAATTCACAACCTCTGTGATCAAGCTAGAAGCTAAACAGTTAAGCCAGTGTTCTGCAAAATAAATTTGCACCTCCTTGTGCTGATACTAAATAGTAATTGCTCAGGCTCAATAACTTGCAGCCATTAATGAGGGAAAAAGGTCCCTGGTAGTATCTGAGCCAAAATGAATTCTGTGATAGATCAAGACAGCAGCAAGTTAAAAATTAATTTTGTTTCTATGTTGACCACTTCTGAAACTTTTTAAGATGTTTTGCTTGTTAAGAATCCTTGTACTTAATTTGATTTAAAGTGTGCTAGTGTTTAGCATGCTCCCCTAAAATAACATACTCTCATAGCATTATTTGCCTGACACTCTCCCCTTTGAAATATACCTAACTTGCATTTACCTTCTTTTTTTTTTTGTATTTACAGGTTTTGCCCTTGGCTGGGGTCCAGTTCCATGGCTGGTAATGTCTGAAATCTTCCCCCTTAAAGCAAGGGGCATATCAAGTGGTACCTGTGTGTTAACAAACTGGGCTACGGCCTTTTTGGTGACCAAGGAATTTCACGATTTTATAGTAAGCACCATAAATCAAAATTCAACTTTTTTTTTTTTTTTTAAATATAAAAAAAACTATTAAAGATGCTCCCGATAAAGCCTTGGGCCAGTCTTCTTCAGCAGTATATATGGGTTGTGGTTGTATAGTTAATGACTTACACTTTTTTTTGTTGTTTTCTCACTGCCTTAGGGTTTCTTAACATCCTATGGGACATTCTGGCTCTTCTCTGCCTTCTGCTGCCTCAGTGTGATATTTGCAGCCTTTTATGTTCCTGAAACAAAAGGACGGACCCTGGAACAGATTGAGGCCTACTTCAGAAAATCTTAAATCTCAGGCTTTTGCTGATGTGAAACCTTTACATCATTATTTGTGGTGCTGTTGCTAAAACTAATTGTGTCACGTGGTAGACAGTCACACAACTTCCTCTACAATTGTTTTAACTAATTTTGTAAAATCTTTTTTTTTTTTTTTTTTTTTCCCCCCCCCCCATCCAGAAATCTATAGGTATTTGCATACACTTGATTATCACTGTATACTCGTTGTACTGTAACTTAGTCGTGTAGGTCTTGGACATGCAAGTTTTTTTTAATTACTGTTCATTGGGTTTGTTTGTTTTTCCTGACCTGGTGCAGACGGACAGCAGTGGCTAGGAAAAAATGTTAAATGTATTGTCTACTGTCTTTTTTGCTAATAGGTAAATTAAGATATAATTTTAAAAATAATGAAAAAATTTATTGTCCCCCTTTGCATTTCCCTACATATGTTACAGTGAAGAAATTTATGCTACAGTCAGGACTTTAATTTTGGATTGCTGTAACTTTTCCTTTACGTGTGTTACTGCTTCTGCATCTGGGAAACCTGCCAATAGAATAAGTCTTGATCCAAAGTGTAAATAGACAAGGGCTGGGTGCTAGTGTTAAGATGGCATTATTTCTCCTACAGAGGTCGAGTATCTAGGACTGCATTTAAATCACAGGACAGGTTATTGCTCTCAGCAGGATGTATTTTAGCATTTCATTTTCAGAAGGAAAGAACAGATCGCGTAGACTGAGAAACTATACCCTTTGCCACAAAAAAAAGAGGGAATTCTCTTTTATAGTGTTAACTTGAGGGGTAAAAATCAACCACTGGAGAAGGTCTGAGTCTTAACAACACCCAGAAACAAACCAATCCTAGACTGTTCTTGGCAAAGAGGAATAGAGCTTATGGCCAATCTCATGAGTCTAAGAGTCCTTAAATGAACAACAGGCTTAAAACATTTCTAGAGAACTATAGTAATCCCTGAACCAAATTTAGAAAAGCCCTGCAAGTTTGAAAGAAAGAACTGATGTAAAATTTATTACATATGAAGAAGTGAATCACTTCTTCCTCCTCCACAATAACAATAAATCGCACTTAAAACATTTCCAGCTGTGACAGGAATGTTTCTATTTAGATGCTACATCTAAAACACAAAGCATATGCACTATCACATGACATTAAACACAATGGTAATACACTGGCATTTAAGACAAGTGGTAGTAAAGAGGTTTTGATCACAGACTCAGCATCTGTCTTAACACGGCAGTTACTAAATTACAAAACAGCCCACTAACATTCAAAGTCTCTGTTAAAACTGACATTGCACGTTGATTACACTTTCTTACAAAAACCTTTAGAGACAACATTTCCATCCAACCAGTTAAATATGTAATAGAGCTATAAATAAATAAGAGAAAAATAATCTCAGTTTTTTCCGTCAGATCATTAATCTAATATAATTTTCACTAGCAAAGAAGTAGTCAGTCAGTTGCAGGTGTGCAACAACAAAGTGAAGCATCTAGTCATTAAGCAGACTGGTGAAATGGCTGTGATCAACTGTAGTAACAGTATCCGTACTTTTTATCCTGTGTGCTTGCTGCATACTGTCACAGAAGCTCCCTCATATTGTTAATGCAGTGTATTTAGTTCTCAGAGTATAACCTGTTTCCCCACAAAAATCAGGCTATGCTTGGATTTCTGAGAAAAGTGCTTTTACAGAATTAGCAAGCACTGGGCACATGACATCAAAGTTGTTAATAATGACACTATTCAGTATGACACACACATGTATATACACATGTTAAAACATCCAAACTGAAAAGACTATGTCTCGAACGCAGACTAAGCCAAAAGCTCTGGGGAAGCTCTTGCATCTGCAAATGCAAGTCATAAATGCACATTTTTAGAAAGGCCTGCAGGAGTTTGTGGCTTATCTAAAGACACCTACAACAACAGAGAGGAAAGGGCAGGCACAGCAACCTTAGGTGTACATAACAGTGCTATGCTTCTTGTGGGTGCAATCTAACCTGTTATTTGCCTTACTAAGAACTGTTTTAACGTTTATTCAGTTGACCATCTAAAAATACTTTGAATCAAGAAATACTTTGAAATTTGAATCTATCAGTCAATCACAAATGCTTGCATACTTGCATATGTATAGAAAGTCACATGAAAGCAGACAGCAGAATTGCGACTCATTCTGGGTGCCAGCTGACATCCAGTCATGCATTTCAAAAACAAACGTAACAAACAAACAACCAACACAAAAAAGCCAGAACAAATTAAAAAAAAATAGCTCCAAACTAGGAAACAATTGTAACCAGGACAGGTCAACCTGTCATTTGCAAACCAAGCAACTGAAGCTATTAATCATATTTGTTCATTCAATCTAGAATCTATCTTTTACCATCTTGGGAGCACTTAGCCCTTCCTCATCGTACACTTCAGTCTTTCTCTCTCCTCAGAAGGAAACATTTCATTACTTTCCATTTCTGAGACTAGAAAGAAAGGACAGTTAGTCTGGATCCCAAGTAGGTTTAATCTCTGTTCTGGAGTTCCTAAATGCCAAGCTGTAAAGACCTTGGGAAGGACTCATCAAGCTTCAGCCTTAAGAGCCACATATTATGCATGTGGGAAGGAATAAACTAATGTGTCCCAGGGCTCTTGAGTCCTATTCAAAGTTGTGATGGTTCACAGGCATGTTATAAAGTAAATGTAATAAAAGGATGATGAGTTGTTGAAAATGCTGCTTATTCATTCTTGAACTGAATCAAAATTCAATAACATGATACTGAACAAGCTGCTCTAGTTTATGTAGTTTTGAATGGAGATATGTGGGGGTGAGTTTTGGGCTAGATGATCTCCTCTGGTCTCTTCCAACTTTATCCATCCTGTGATTGTATATGTATCACTGATGCTATTGAGAAGGCACAAGTCCATTCTAAGTTAGCTGTCTGTTCAGTCCTGCTTCTTGAACCAGAGTAAACTAAATTCCTGTAATTTAGTCAGACTAAGGTACTGTGCAGAAATGATGATAATTCCATTATCCAGGAGAAGTTAAAAGCCCTCCTCCTCCAACAAATCCAGCAAACTAGGACACTAAACACTTCTAGCAGCGCCTTATCTGTGTTAAGAGTCCAGAATTGACTTTTAGTTTAACTTAGCTTGATAGCAAGCATTCAAGCTGGTAACAGCTCATCCTTCACAGAAAGACTTTTCCACACTTCTACTGGATGTGGTGGTAGCAAGCTTATTTTCCAGTGTTCTCCATTAGATGAAGCTACTACCCATCCTTGCTGCAGTTCCAAATATTTTCTCTCAAATATATGTTGGTCAGCCAACACCAAGAACACCGGTAAATGGCAGTTTTAACACAAGATGTGAAAATCAGAAAGGCTGTACTTGAGATAGAAAGGGCTATGCTTTTTGTGCCCAAGGCTACTTTCCAAGCTAATTGAATAGAAGCATGCACATTGCAGACAGGAGAGGAAATAACATGGCTTCAAGGGACTGGAGTGAACAACAGCATAGCAGTCCATCCAAGTAGCCTTCCAGGAAGCCATTTCATTTTCCCTGGTCACTTGACATTGGTCTGAAGAAGAGATTACACAGATGTATTAAAACTTTGTCCTATTTTGAGACTGCTAGTTCTGAGGACAACATTTCATCACACAAAGATGCACATAGTATGTGAGAGTCTGATGACAGTTTTAAGCCAACAGAAACCACATCCTTGTACAGTGGCTATTTGTCAGTTGTCCTAGCAGCTTCACATTTTGTGTTATTTTGTCTTTTAGGTAAGACAAATGTCATAAAGAATTTCACAGTTTGGTTCTTGTGGCTTGCATCAAACAAAATCCAAGCAAAACTACCACATTCCCTGTCTTCTACCCACGCTCCAGGATATTCTCTGACAGTAAGTAGGTAATAAATGACATGAATGTGACCATAAAGCCTTAGTTACCACATCTAGGAGTAATATTAAAAATCAGCATTGCCTGACCTCTTCATCTCCTTTTACTAGGTCTAATATTATTCTTGCATGCCTATATGGCATACTGATTAATTACAGAAGGAAAAATGTTATTGTTAAGGCACTACATACATTAGGAATGGAGACAGGTAATTTTTCCACTGTTCAGATCTTGCCTGTCCTACGTGAGTATTAATTCTTTTAGGTCTGGTAGTTTCCAATGTGACTAACATAACAGTTGACCCATTAAGTCAAGCTATATCATAAAATTCAGCTGGTGGGTCAGAAGAGGCAGGGTTAAGACAAGTGAGTTGACACAGCAACTATGTTGCCATCTTCAAACTATTCCAATGTTTTGTTCCAGATAAATACCATGAAGCTAGTCTTCATTTTTTTGTCTCACATAAAATGTAAATGCTGTATTCCTTACAATCCTTTTGTCACTTTTAGTATTGGTTAGATGTCATCAATGTTGCTATTACGGGTAGAACTACAAAGCTTCTCTCTGTTGGCAGTGTTGTGGTTCTGCTTAAACAAAGTAATTCTTGCCTTATACCCCATCTACGTATTGTCACATATTGGTTTGACACAAATACCAATCTTTTATCATTCTGCCTACCACCATAGGCAGGGGTCAGGTACTGTCAGACTTTCTCTATTCTTCTACAGTGCTCCATCTATAAGGGTCTTTCCATGTCTTTTAACACGTTTGTTCAGGTTCTTCACTTATGTTAAATTATGCTAGAATAACAGAAGTGAACTTCTGCAGTACATTTACGATGTGATATTCCAAAATCACTAAGCAAATTTTCCAGTTGAAATATTATTTTAAATCAAGCCTGAGTTTTGCAGCAAAACAAACTGGTACAGACTTCAAAAACACCCACACAAAAGAAATTAAGTACTACGCTCTGAAATTTGTGTACTGAAAACAGCAATGCTTCTGCTTTCTAAAAATATCTAAGTGCCAACAGTGCTTCCTAAAGTGGATTCATTAAGTCCACGAAAGTGTTCACAACTTCCAGCAGGATAAGGACCATATGATACTTCCAGACCAATTCTTCTCAAATCTCAACTGACAAGACAGATAGGTTGGGATAAATGACTATGGCCTCTGAAAACATTCTGAACAGAATTACAAGCTCCTGCAAAGACTTTAAGGTGGCACTTCCTTTCAGAAGTTTATTAAGGCTCACCCCACACATCCATGGTTGCCCAAAGAATAATAAAAAAAAAAAAAAAAAAAAAAAGCAGTCACTGGTTAATACTGCTTCTGCTCCTGAACAAAGTACTGCTTAAATTATTGCTTCTTTTCTTGCTCAAGAAAAAGAAGTTATTCTTTTAAGTTATGGCCTTGCATATTTTCTTAGGTGGAGATATTAATCTATCATAATACAATAAACAGGGCATGAAAAATTTTCCAAAAAGTTTCACATTCAGACAGGCAGAAGCAAAAGGCAGAAATCATCACATGGTCATGCTTACATATACTACATATTAAAAAAAAATAAAAAAATCAAGGATACAGAACTATGTCTACATAAGCAGCAAGAAATACCTGCTAATAAAGCCCACATCTTTCTATATAAAAAGCCTGGAAGCATCACATTTTCATGAAAGACAGCAAACTCTTTCAAAATATTGTTTAAAATTGACTTTTTGGCATAGACAGAAGGGTTAAAAAAAATAATCAAGCTTAATGATGAAATTTTGTCCTTTAACAAGACAAAAGATTTTCTAAGGCTATTTCATCATAGAAAACTAGCTTCCTAGCAGTAAAATTTTAGTCTGGTCCACTTAGAAAAATGTTTATCTGAAGCAGTGACTTCTATTGTTGATACAAGAGCAAACAACAAATTTTGACGCCTGCACAGGAATCTTTCCATAACCAGAATTAGGGGGTGGCTTCCGCCTGTAATGAGGAAATCTCAAGGTGCATTACAGAAAAGTTGTTCCACTAGATGGAGAAATATAGTTTAATTTTGACTTTAAATTTTTAAGGAAGATCTGTGTGGTTTTGTTTTTTTTTTTTTTTTCTGTTTGTTTGTTTTTAAATAAGACTCCTTCTACTCAAAGATTCTTAATGCCAAAACAGTTTTCAAGTTCCTCTAAAAATATGTACACAGACAGGTCAGAGAAAAAAGCATGTTCATATGTCACCTGATCTTTATAGAATATTCTTGATTCTTCACTGAACAAAAAACAGCTGCATCATTTCCAGGACAGACTGCACTGTTTGAGAAGATCTTGCCTAGAAGTATTTTTTTTTTTTTTTTTTTTTTTTAGATTAAATAAAAACAACAAAAGGAGTGATTTTCATTACAAAATTCTTCTTCCTACATCGCACGCACTGCTGTAAAAGAACTCACAACATTAGTAACAGCAATTAACTTTACAGAATGCTACTTCAGGTAGCTCAGAATAAGAAATACTTTTTATTTACTTCAATTTCAGCCTGAAGCTCTCATTGATAACCTACCTTTAAAATACCACAGAAAAGTAATAGTTCATTAACTAAAATAAGAAAACAAACAGACATCAAAGATGCAAGCATCACCAAACCAGGCTAAGCAAGCCAGAACAACATGAGACCTATAAAGATTAATCACCAATACTTCCAGCCACATTTTACCACTAGAAGCACTGTTTGTGACATTCCTACAGAGCTCACAGAGTTGTAAGAAAAGGTGAAGTAAGGAACAGTCTTGTCTGTCTTCACTTCAAGTCAATGATGTCTTCATCAGATAAAGAAGTCAGATGAAATGGATAGCTAAATGGTGAGCTCTCCTCCCTGTTTGCTACAGAATCAGGATCTGAACTAGTGGAAAGATGACGACCCTCAGAATAGCTTTCGAAAGAGGCTGAGATTATTCTGCAAAGATGAAGACAAAAGTCACTAAAAAAAAAAAAAATAAATAAATAAAAATAAAAATAAAAATACACAGAAAAGGGGCAGGTAGGGTCAGTGGCTATTTCTACATACAATCAAGTCATCCTAAAGACAGATCATTAAAACTGAGTTTCTCTCTGTTTAACTCTGCTTCCATAACAATTCTTATTAAAACAAAGATTACAAATATCAAATTATTGCCACAAGGTAATCCTAATGAATTGTCCCCCTCATTATAACTTCCAAATAGCAAAATAGTTTATACTGCAGCAGATTAACAAAAAATAATCTCAGTCTATTGTATCTTGGCTGAATTCTGCTGCTACTCATCACAAATGCAGGTTATAAAAACAGAGAAAACAACATAATGGCAGTAGAGTCTGGTAAGCAGAGCCAAACAGACAAATGCAATAATGTTTATTTGCAAAATTTATTTTGGAAATAGCAAGACAAGAAGGTATGAAGAAAACAATAATTCAGTCTGCAGTGTGAATTTAGTAGTTCAAGTCCTAGTGACAGGCCCAATTGCAGTAGGTCCTCCACAAAATCCCACTTAGCTTTTCTTCGCTTATAACATGTCTTTTAGCAATATGCATAACCCATCTCAGTGCTGTTATTAGATAGTAAACCACACATTAGCATGAAATTCACAAAGGCCTCAGTCAATCCCTACCTAACCGGGAAAACCATAAACCGGTTGAAAAGCAATCAATTCTCAAAACATTTATGGTCTAACTTAGGCTCCTTCCTAAAGCCCATACATTTATTTACCTGTCACTACTAGTTGATCTTACTGCTCCCTGCTTGGGGTCTGACTGTCTTCGAGGAATCTTTTTTTGCTTCTGTGAACCTTCTGTCTTGGGAATAGGCTCATCCAAGAGGCCTCAATAAAGGAATAAAAGTCTTAATATTCTCATCAGAAAATAAAGCATTCACAAAATTTTTTTTTTTTAAATTTTCATTTTTTCACTTATTTTCATTTTTAATTAAACAGCTTTCAGCTGACTTAGAATATGGTCACCTTATATGTGACCAGACACTACCTAAACTACTTGCAAACAACATTTTCTTACTGTTTTGTTTGTACTACTTATTTATGAACACTGGTTGTCTGTCACTAATCTGACTATAATGAGATTAGACCAAAGATGCTCCAAAAATTAGAAATTATATTAGTGGTAACTGATATATACACACTGAAGAACAAGGGGAGTTTACCCAGCAATTCTTTACGTGTTCTGTTTGCAATTTCTTTAATTTCCATGCGAGATAAGGATAGTGAGTGAGTAACAGGAAGAGAGGTAATGCCACCGGATGTTGGAGTAGTGACGACTTTAGGAGTCAAAGGTGACTTCAGAGGTCGTTCAATGCTTCGCCCTACCAGATTACTAAGAGGAATTTTATACAAGTTTTTACATGTAACTTCACCTGAAACTCAAAAGGAAAAAAAAAAAAGAACGTTACTCTTTCACAACTGTATCAGTTCATAATACTTCAAAATGAAAAATGATACAGAAAAGTTATAATCATTGTGTGGGTTTTTTGTTTGTTTGTTTTTAAACTCAAATAACATTTCTTGTTTTCTTTTTCAAGACCTTTCTTGCTTTGCACCTTACAATATAAGTAGGCTAGGAGAAGGAAGAAATAGAACTACATTTTGCACTGACTTTTTGGCTTACAGAGGAAAAAATTTTTGACTCTCAGCAAAGTGATGAATCAGCAATGGAAAAAGGAGGTAAATTTATATGTCCTAAGGCTGATATCCCAACTGTAAGACCATGACTCACTATTCTGTTCAAGATTCCCCAGATATTTTAATATGTTGACAGAATATTGGAGTCTGGATCCCAAATAGTTCAAATTATGGCTTTTCTTCTTAAGTGACATAAAAGACTCTGCATTTTCTTAATTTTGGGGAAAAAAAAAAAAAAAAAATCACCTAACAACTTACCATCAAACAGCACTACCTTTTAAAAATTGAAATTCCAATTCCTTTCTCTTCTCCCTTTCTGCCAACAGTACCAGATTTAAAAGTCCAAGGCATACATACATATTGCATTATCTAGTTGATACTCCCATGTTTCTCCATTACTGTATCCTTACAAATCAACTGTTCACAGATTACCTTACAGTAAGGTGATTGTGACTAGATACACTTCTTATTCTGAATTTGAAAAGAACTCTAATCATTGAGGGATGGTTTAGCTGTTTTTAAGTGAAAGGAAAGGTGTATGTGAAGTCTGAAATTTTTCTCCTAATTTTACACCATTTTTTCTTTAATCTTGGACATACTGACAAAGATTCATCTAGCTAGTAAAACTTAATTCTTCCTCCCCTGTATAAATGATTTCTTGAAAATAATGCTGTTATTCATTCAAAAGAGATACACTTGGGCAAAAGCTAAGCCAGGTGATTCAGATCTTTGGGTAATCAGATTTCTATCCTCCACACTCTCAACTATTAACTCAAAATCTTTTATCTGATCAATTTCTTCTTACTAAAGATCAGCTACACTGAGATACGGAAGCTGCTGGAACAATCAGAGATGATTATTCAAGCTGTCTAGAAACCATATTACCTTCTGAAGAAGAAAGAGAACATTCTGGCATATCATAAGCTGTAGGTGTTTGAGGTGAACTTCTTGAACTGATTTCCTTAGAACTGCTATGAGATGATCCGCTTACTGCAGCAGTAGCTTTAAAATAAATATCCGACTGAAATGACAAAGAACTCACCATTAGTACTACAAGACTTTCTTAATCATTTGCTGAGCAAAAGCTCAAACGTTTATCCACTGTATTTCATTGCCACTGTAGCTGCATTGCTGCTGATTTGATTAGGGCTGATCAGGGAAAGGCTATCTCACTGTATCTTGGGGAAACTTCTGTGATGTTCAGAATAGCATGTGCCCCATAAACAATCAAATACCTCAAGTATGCATTACTGCAGGCAATAAAGGACAGTGAGCTCAATTCTGATCCTGACTGTACTTAATACTAAGAGCACAAAGATGAATATTTTTCACAAATGAAATCACGCTTGTGAGCTTTGGTTTGGTTTGTATTTGGCTTAGACAACATTTCATGTTAAACAGATCTCAACAACATCTCACAAATAGTCAAAAATGCTTTTCTTGTGTCTTACCCTTGATGCTACAAGTTGAAGCTCAGGCACAACTGCTGTGTGGACTAAGTTTCCATTCACCACTAAACGTATTTCAATGGAATCAGTAGTGAAGGCAAGTATGTAAGGGAAAGCACAGACTGCAACGGAACAAAAAATTATTTGGCACAGAAGAATGATTAATGTAAGTGTTTCTTGGTTGCTCAGTGCAGACTGTTCCTGAGTATCTGATCTACTTCAGCATCTCCCTTTCCTACGACAGAGTTTGCCTAATAAACTGATGAACATTCAGATACATCAAGCCTGAACAAGATTTCATTCTCCATGTCTGGCAGAATGCAGACTGAACGGGAAATAAAAAAAACAGAAAAAAGAGAAAGGAAAAATAGTTCAGCAAAGGAAAAAAACTTTGCACCAAGGCTCTCCTTTTGAAAATACACTAAAAACAGCCACTTAGCAGAAGTGGCATCATTAATGCAACATGCTTATAGAATCACAGAATTATCTATTTTGGAAAAGACCTTCAAAGATCATGAAGTCCAACCATCAATCTGACCTACCAAGTTCCATCACTAAACCATATTCCTTAGTGTCTTGTCCACATGTTTGCTAAGTACCTACAGGAATGGAGTGACTCCACCATATCCCTGGGCAGTGCATTTCAATCATTAACTATCATCTCCATGAATAAATTCTTAAGAATTTATTAATTTATGTTTATCAAAATTTATTAAATACAATTTTTTTATATACAATGTTATTAATTTTGCTTTTGTATGTATTTCTAGCACACGTGCTGTAATTCCAGAAACAGCCAAGCGCAGGTCTAAGAGATATTGATAAAAGAGTAAAAATAAATGTTTTCTTACCAACAGCATAAGGAACTTGATTCCAGCAAAAGTGAAAATCATAAGCTGATGGCTGAATCAGCGGAGAACCACCATTAAACGGATACACTTTTCTATACTGGCAAACATCTGTTACAAAAAAAACAAAAAAAAAAGCACCCATCACTTTACACTGTAAATTAAAAATGTCAACTTTATAGATAGATTTTACTTAAGTTTGGATGATAGATAGATAAAACTCAAACATCTCTGTAGAAGCCTCTTTGTATCTAAACAGATAATAAGGAAAACGAGCTTTCGTTTGAACATTTAGAAGATAAATATAAAGAGCTACATTTTAATAAGTTACCATGTTTCACAAAGTAAGTGGTATTCTGTTTCAACAATCATCAGCTCCTTACTTTGTTTACAGTAGAGAAATAGGCAACAACATTTCTGAAAACCATGTCTTCTCTGTCTGTAAGAACTGCCATGCAAGCAGCCATATGCTACTTCATGTATTCTAAGGACTGTAAAACACATAGGATACTACAGATACCGATTTCATTAATCATGTTACTTGTGAACCTCTTAGCTACCATACATGCACTGAAACTAAGTCTTCTTATGAGTCAGACATGAATTGGCTACTTGGAATGCAATTCTAAATTTAATTTGGAAGATCTAGATCATGAGGAATTTAACCTTCCACTACCCAATTTTATTCTCTAAACACTCTCACTAGTGCTGATAAAACATCCTTTAAAATGAGAAGTTATGTCAACAAATTAAAAGAAGGCTTAAAGAGGAGAAAGAATTGCAATCATCTTTTTATTTTTACTACTTCATATGACTGCACTGGAGGCTCCAGGAAAACATCTGTGAGCACCTCATACACCTGCTCCTATCAGTTCTTTTCAATGTTTTCAGGTAAAATTCTATTTTAAGAGTTGATTTGATGACTCCTGTGGGTCCCTTCCAACACAGGACATCCTATGATTTGATTTTTTTCTATTATTTATGTCCTTAGACTGAATCTAAGTTTATAACCAGAAAAGTATTAAAACCCTTTTTCTAAATACAAACTCAGAACTGTCAAATCATGTGTTTTCATATTTGTTCTACGATGATCTTTTCTTAATTGTAAACTCTCTAAAGACCAGAAGTAGGTTTCTCTGTGATAATGTCCTAGAAATAGGAATTCAAGTAGCTGCAAGACTGAGCATTAGGCTTTAAGATCTTATTAGGATCCTGTAGTGTACCTTTAGCACCAACTAAGTTTATTAGCTTTGGATCAGCAGTAAGTCTATTAGAATGGAACTGATTCTGCGCAGAAGTACAGGTATGGGAATTCACCATGCACTGTCACAGCACTACTTCAGAACTAAAAAGCTCTAAGTGAACTAGAATCAGATAGGATACAGCAAAATAGGAGAACCAGCGAGGCCTCACAGTGTTACAGAGGAAGTTAACACTTAAGAAATACTTTCCCGAAAGTACCAAACTAACAGTCAGTACTAGAATTTAGGTGTATTTATTATGTTTCTATTGATGATCACTTTGAGAAGGACGATAGGACACATAGCCTGAAACAGAGAAGGCTGTGCTTTGTCTTTCTGTGTATTGCTTCATAAAGGCTGTTACATATCTGTAAGTAATATTTTTAAGAGGATTAGAAGCAAAAAAGAAGAAATGAACATGTATTATATCAGAGACCATGTGTCCATATCGGAGAGAATTACAATGAAAGAATGTGACAGTGCAAAGAAGTGTGCAGAAGAAAAAAGCACAATAACAGAATGCAAAAGTATAAAGAAGAAAGCAGGTGGAATGCTATACACATCCTGGAAACATCCAGTGTTTAATTAAGTAAAGAATGAGGAAATCGGAAGGCATAGGACTTTTGTGAGTAACAAAGTAATATCTATTGTATGTCTAATTCAAAATACCCAATAAAATAGTACTTCAATTTCTAGTCCACCTAATGTGTATTTAAGTCAAAAAGAATGTATTCTGAAATACTATCTGTGAAACTCTGAAATTTACTTTAAAACACAGATCTAGACTCCAATGAAAAAATAATTCCATATGCAGATCGAGATCCTACCATTTTCAGTCTTCCCTGGATACTTACAGTTATAACATAATAGTAGACCAGCTTCACCATCTTCATATACATCAATAGCTGCAACAAAATTAACCTGCAATGGAAAAGGGAAATTATAATGAATATTCAGATGGGATACTGCAGTTATTACATCCAGTTTTTGACTCTGAAGCAATATAGTCAGTTGGTGTTGTTCCACAATTACAGATTTAAAAAAAAAAAAAGTGATTTTTCATATTCGGCCTGTTTTGTGATTCATTTTCAGAGTGCTCTTAGAATGGAAATCAATTTATTTTGTATTTAATGCTGTACCTCAGTAACGAATATTCAGTACTATGCCTATAGCATAAAAACTTACCTAATTTATTTGGCCACATAAATTTTGAGTTAGTACAGCTGTGTATCGCAGAATCACATGGGTTGGAAGGGAGCTCCAGAGATCATGGAGTCCAACCCCCCTGCCAAAGCAGTTTCCTACACCAGCTCACTCAAGTTGGTGTCCAGGCTGGTCTTGAACATCTCCAGAGAAGGAGACACCACAACCTCCCTGGGCAGCCTGTTCCAGTGCTCCATCACCTCACCTAAAGAAGTTCTTGCGCACATTGGCGCGGAACTTCCTATCCGAGTTTCCGGCCGTTTCCCCTTGTCCTGTCTCCACACAATGCTGAAAAGAGTCTGGCCTCACCACTCTGCTCCCCACACCTTAGACGTTTATAGACCTGGATCAGGTCCCCTCTCAGTCTCCTTTTCTCAAGGCTAAACAGACCCAGATCAATCAGCCTTTCTTCAGAGAGATGCTCCAGGACCTTCACCATCTTTGTGGCCCTTTATCTTCCCCGCAGCAGGAAACATTTGAACCTCCCCCCCTGCCCTCCCCCAAAACTCAGGATGTTTACTTAAATCGCAACACTTTGTCTTAGTTAGACAGATATAGTTAATTTATTATTTGGCTGTGCAGAAGTTTCTTAAAAAAACCTAAAAGATACAAGCATATCTGAATGAGATACTGGTGGCCAAAAACTGAAGTTATTTTGCTGCAATCTTGACAATAAAACATTGAGAACACAAAGAAAAGGCAAAGCACAAACTACTGACTAAAAGGACAATAACAGCTTTGTATTTACGCTGACAGCAATATTTCAGAGAAATGAAACACAGGTTCTTTGTTCATGTGTCATGCCTTGTAAATACCTCTCTCGGAAGTAATTATCATCACACATTCCAAAAGAGACAAGTATCTCAGACAGCCCCTACGGCAGAAGTTGGACTGGACTGAAAAGTAAAGGAGACATAGGATCTTTGTAAACAGTGCTCCCAGCAGGTCAGCACAGCAAGCACTAATTCTGCAAGAAATAATGTTCAGTGTGGTTCTGCAAGAAAATAGGTTCCATGCTTAAACTTACCTTGTTTGCTTCAATATGATGCAGTCTGTAGGACTCCCCAGTACTTTCGTTAACTAAATCAAACTGATGCCGATAAGCTACACAAATCATATTGTCACTGTCTTCAGTAGGTCCATCAACTAGCGTCATAATCACTGGAGGGTCAGAAAGGCATATTTCCTGTATGGTAAACAGAATCATAGAATCACTCAGGTTGAAAAAGACCTTTAAGATCATCAAATCCAATCACGACCTAAGCATACAATGCTAACAACCCTCCGCTAAATCATGTCCCTGAGCACCACATCCAAACGGTTTTTAAACACATCCAGGGATGGTGACTCAACCACCTCTCTGAGGTGCCTATTCCAGTGCTCAACAACCCTTTCTGTAAAGAAGTGTTTCCTAATATTCAACCTGAACTTACCCTGGCGCAACTAGAGGCCATTTCCCTTTGTCCTGTCACCAGTGAGAATAAACCAACACCACTCTTGCTGCAAGCGTATTTCAGGTATTAGAAGACAGCAACACGGTCTCCCCTCAGCCTCCTTTTCCTCAGACCAAACAGCCCGAGTTCCTTCAGTCACTCTTCATAGTCCATATTCTCTGGGCCCTTCTTCACCCTTGTTGCCCTTCTTGGACCTGCTCCAGCACCTCAATGTCCTTTCTGTACTGAGGTGCCCAAAACTGAACACAGTACTTGAGGTGAGGCCTCACCAGTGCCGAGTACAGGGGCAGGATGACTTCCCTAGTCCTGCTCACCACATCATTCCTGATACAAGCCAGGATGCCACTGCCCTTTTTGGCCACCTGGGCACACTGCTGGCTCATATTCAGCCAACTTTCCATCAGTGCACCAAGTCCTTTTCCATCAGGCAGCTTTCTAGCCACTCTTCTCCAAGCCTGTAGGATTGCCTGGAGTTGTGACCAAAATGCAGGACCCAATACCTGACCCTACTGAAACTCATACAGTTAACCTTAGTCCATCGATCCAGTCTATCCAGGTCCCTCTTCAGTGCCTTTCTCCCCTCAGACAGATCAACACTGCCTCCCAGCTTGGTGTCATCTGCAAACTTAGAGGGTTGTTAATAAAGATCTTAAATAGAAGCAGCCCCAGTAACGAGCCCTGGGAACTCAGTAAATAAAACCACTCTCTTTTTCAGACTCTTAGTCTGAAAGCACATCTTTCTAAGCACAGAAACATGACATAGAGCAAACAAATTCACTCAAATAAATCTGAAAGATTTCTTTGGCCCTTGAACAACGGAGCTCCATCATACTGCTTCTTGCTTATATCTGTCTGGAAGTTCAGAAAGACAAAATGCATGCTCTTTACCTTTCTGCCCCACTAGCTGAGTGCTGCTCAGTCTGTAAAGGCAATTAGTGACCAGATTACACGTACCCGGATATACTGGAACTCCTCTAATGGAGATTCAGATAATGATGGAGAGCTGCCTGTTAAACTGTTGCATGGATTGTATTTCTTTATGATGAGAAGTAGTTTGTTCCGAATAGCCACAACAATCCTCAGTTCACCGCCATGGTGAGTATTAATAGCATATAAATGGCAGCCTAAGGAAACAATGTTCCAGATTGTAATTATTTGGGGTAATGACTGCTTTTTTGTTCTGTATTTGAACGATAGTTAGTACAAGAGTGCAACAGAACTGCAATAGGATAGCACTAACATCTAGAAAAAGACAAAATGATGTGATTCTTAAATTGTATTTAAGAATAAATACAAGGGTTAAATTGTATTTTTCCTTTTAACAAGGGTTAAATCATGTTAACCCTTTCCAGCTTGCTGCTGAAGATCAGAAAATGTTTACATCCATTAAAATAATCAATACTCAAACTATTCTGAGTGCTACTATTCAAAATAGATTTGTCAGTGTTTCTCCAATTTACAGTGATCTTAATACATGAATGTCAGACATACAGCTCTTATTATATCCCCCAATTCTGAAAGCAACATACATGCTTTTCTCTAGAGCCTTTCATCAGCAGTGATTATCAAGTAACATGGTAATTTTACCAAGCTCTCAACAGGCACGCTGGACTACACCCAATCTTATTTTCAGAAAATCTTAACAAAGTTTGAATTAACTGTTCAGAGTTAAAGGAAACAACCAAACAAAAAAACTAAAGGTGAAAATCTGCAACAGGAAGCTAATAAGCCATAATAGAATGGTGGGATACTTTTAACATAAGATAGTAAAATCACCTTTTGTTCTCTCCAATTTATTTTCTCTGCAGTCATATTTGCTTCTTATCACCTGCTTTGTTTCTATATCTTTTCGGACTGAACTCAATCTGAAGACAAGGAGACGGGAGTCTTTCCCTGAAGGATGGAAAAAGCCAAAAAATACTTAGAAAAAGATGATGGTGTTCTGAAATTAATACTTCCGAAGAGGTGCAGTTCCTAACAAACAGGGCAGTGTCATAAAAGCAAAAGATAAATAATTTTGCTTCTCTGGGTGTAAGTAGGAATGCGACAACAAGGAAAGACTGCTTGTGAACACACTCTAGTCTTTACAATCCTAGAAACCAATGCCTTCAGTTCAGTAGAAGTTTCCCCTCAGACTGTGTTGAAAACAAACGAACAAACAAACAAACAAAAAAAAACCTCAACAAATTATATAAGATCTTTAGAACAGTGAGATGTACGCTACTGGAAAACAGTGAAAATACAGCAGAGGCAAACTAAAGGCAAGAGTAGAAGGGTTAACTATAAATGTCTAGCAGCTGATAACTGGACTCTTAACAGAGTTTGAAAACCTGCCCCTGGAGGCAGACTGGTTTTGCCGTTCTTCAAAGTTACACACATTCAAGATACTTTCCAATTGCAAAAATAACACCGCATCCACTACCACAGTTAAATCTATTTTCCATGATGACAGATGTGAGTAGAATACACTCCTAAATTTAAATAAATAAATAATGGCACACGACTATTAACAGTTGAAAATAAGCTACTCTTTAAGAACCTTACATAAAGCAAACTTCTTAAAATGCAAACAAAGCAAGATTTTCTGACACAGGTATACTTTTTCAATAGAGCAGCTGGTATAACTGGAAAAAATAAAGCACATTTTCTAAATATGTAGCCAGTGTAGCTCCTGCTATCAATACAAAAGCAAGATCACAGGTGCTGCCTTCAGTGCTGATAGAAGAGCAACACGAATTAGGATGACCTTTGGCGCATACATGACTTTCTTCTCCCACAGAAAGTGTTAGAGTAAGGCATAATGCTTCCGTAAGTCCACCATAACTTCAAACATTGACTTAGAGCAAATTCTTACTGTCAACACTGAGAAAATGAAAACGAAATGGATGAAGTCCCTCTTTTTTCAAAAACATGTACACTCAAGAATGTGTGCTTCCATGAATGAGTTTCTTAAATACGAAGGGGTAAGGTGCTGGAACAGGCTGCCTAGAGAAGCTGTGGTTGCCTGATCTCTGGGAGAATCAGGCTGAACAAGGCTCTGGGCAACCTCATATACTGAAAGACAGCTGTGACCATGATGGGGGATGGAAAGCTGTACTAGATGACCTAAAAAGGTCCCTTCCAACCCAAAAAATTCTATGATTCAGTGTGACCAGCTTAAGGTTTGCACTAAAGCACCATTCTGAACATATCTAGGGATTTCTTTTTTCCCCCACACCTTTTAGAAGACAACAACAACAACAAAAAAACAGAAGTTGTTGTACCTTTTATTCTAAATGAGACATTTAATATATGCCACTACTAGTATGATGCGACTGCCCGTGCCCATGAGTCATGCAAATCCTAAAGCATTCTAAAGCATTGAGACAAAGGAAATAGCATGTGAGCAACCCAGAAGAAGTCAGCAAAGAGAAAGAGGTGGAAGGATGTCAAAAGAGCAACAATAAAAGCTCTAAAACCTAACAAAAGCAATTTAAAAATGGCTAGGTGATGTGAGAAAAGGTGATAATACATATCTAGAGCTGCAGGAATTAAAATGTAGAGCATTTTTCTCCAGTAAAGTACTCTCTTAAAGAAAAAGAGTTAAAATATTCCTTCCTATTGATGTGCCTGCCAAATAAGAAGTTAACCAGATATATTCATAAGAGAACTGATTAACAGGGACCTCTCCTACCTTTATCTGTTCGGGCAATCAAATAATCCAGAGCTTCCAACACATGCATCTGCTTTATTTGCAGAGTTTTATCAAATACTTGAACAGCAGTTTGACCATCTAAAAAGGAAGCACACAAATTTCTTTACAATTCTGCTAAAATTTGGTAGTTAGTGGTTTTGAACTTCTTGCAATAAAAGCCTTTTTTTTTTCCTCGCTAAAATAAAGCATCCTGTAAGAAACTGCTTAATATACTGTAGCATCATAGCCTATACTTCCTTATGGCAGACTTTTATCATTGCCATGGATCAGATAATGCAAATGAAGCAGAAAAGGGACCATCCTTTAGAAAATTTGAGAATATTCACTGAGAATTAGCTTAATTCCCTCAAGCCTGACGGTCTTTTGTGGCACACAGAAGATAAGGGTCAAACTAGCAAAAGCACTGCTATTGAAGAAGCAGGCTTCCATTGCTGCATAAGCTTTGGGCTTCATGCTCACTAGTATCACAAAGGGCTAACAAATGCAGACAGACCACTTGACACTCCTTGAGCTTGAATTTAACTTAATGAGTCTTTTCAGATGGTCAAATAACAGCATCTGAAATAATAAAACATTCAGAAATCTGCATTAAAATGGGCCATCAAATATGGCTTGATTCTGATGCAGAGAAAAATTCTGCAAATAGGTGACATAAATGTAATAAATTTACTTGGATTGGTAAATATCAATGGAGGTGAGAACTAACCAATACCTGAGCAGAGCTTATGAACATATGTTTTCAAGACCATGTTCAGATACAAAAATAGTTAACACAAAAACACACGATCATTTACTAACCATCTATTAACAAGACGCCAGCATCTGTAGAAACCAGTAAGGACCGGCCCCAAGAATCTGCACAGATGACCTCATGAGGAAAATTACTGCAGAAAGACTGGGACTCCCAAGGCTATGAATTAACATAAGGGATACACAATAAGTACACTAAGAAATACAGATCAGACAGACACAGAATATGATGGACAATGGCAAGCAGTAACATGTAAACACATCTGGGAGAATACATTTCCTAAGAGTATATTTTTTAAAATTTGAAATATCAAAATCTATTTAATTTTCTTGCAGAGAAAATACTCCCGCTATCAATTGGATTTGGAGACTAATACAATAATAAGGCATGTTCTTGAAACACTATAACTAAAACCAAAGTTTTAGTGCAATTCAGTGGATATTCACTGCAACACTGGAAATGCTTAATATTATTTTCTTATTTTTTAAATACCACAGACTTAAAATGTATGCACTACCATGCACATACAATTTGCTTATATTTTGTAGTTCAGATTGTATTTAGAAATGGTACTGTTACAGCTGTCTTTCCTCCAAACTCTGCTTCTGTCATGTGTTCTTCATATCTGTCTCCTGAAATCTGGCTCCCTCCATCCCCAACATTAAACAGTAAACTGAAGTCTGAAACTCTACAAGCACCTTTGAAGCTTCTTTGTATAAGATGCATGCAGAAAAGCGTAGATTACATTTTCCAATCCCTGGAAAAAGAATCTCGTAGTTACAGAAAATAAAAACACAACTGAATTTTGTTTTAAACTTGATAAAGAAGTAAAAATAATTTAAGATGATTGTCTACGGAAAACACGTGTCTTTTTCATCAAATAACCTCATGACATAAAGATATCCCAATTTGCTTTAACTTGAGAAATGCTTCTACATCCAGGCTCATTCTTTAATTGCTACTGTCTGCAGAATCACTTTAGTATTATGCAATACTATTGCATATACTTCGTTGCTATAGCACCTAATTATGTAAGTAAATAAATAGTATACAGAACTGATATACAATGCCATGTACATCATATGGCATATACATACGCCATATTCACTAGCATTTCATTTTCTAGTAACTCTCCTTAAACAGACAGGTTCACTCACCTCCTTTTTACAAAAGCTTGTATTTGCCAAGGTAGCTGGTGTATCCCCTTTCACACCAGTTTTCAGTTTGAGTGCCTAAAATAAAATAAAACAAAATAAATACTTTAATTAATGAAGTTTTTATCACTAGTATGTGAGTTAAAGACTATATAAAACAGATAATTTAGGACAAGAAAGTAGCTTACTTAGTTTGGATTTTCTGTTATGTTTTCAGTAATTCGGAAAGAAAACGTAATTATCTATGTCAAAATGCACACTAACCACTATGGACTGTCTTCCCAGACAAAAGATACACAGCTTTTAAAAAAATGGAAAATTACATGAACTGTCCAACTTAGTAATAGACAGAAGCCCCTATTCCAATGATGTCAGCTGGCCATTTACACAATTCAAGCAGTTAGAGCTGGTTAGCAGATCCTTCTATCTGTTAACAAGCTGGTGTTACACTTGCAAAACTACATAACAAGCCACTCCAACTGTACATATGCACTACCTGGGGGCTGGTGCTTAAGGCACAGTCACAGCAACACAAATTCTTCAGTCACAAATAACTAGAAGCATGCTGATTCTAAAAGGTCTGAAAACTCTAGAGAAATACTGTATGAATATATTTTCATTGCGACAGATAATAAGTCTATTTAAGGTATCTTATATATCTTCCTTGTTTATATTTACAGCATACAAAAATCCAGTGTTTCTATAACATTAAGACACAGTCTTGTAAACATAAATGCATACTTCTGAAATTCATCCTACCTGACCAAGTCGGACAAATTCTGCTTGCCGAGCTTCCTCCTTCTTCCGTGTTGATTTTGGAGACTCTGGTAACACATCACTGAAGGACCTCCTGTTCAGCATGTTCTAAAAAAAGAAAAAAGCAGCTTTCCTTTTTTTTTTTTTTTTTTTTTTTTTTTTTTCCTCCAGTTGAGTCAAAGTTTTCATAATATTTTAACTTTATTTTATTTGCTGTGGTATCATTTACATTTTCTGCCTTTCTTTTTAATATATTTTCTTATCATCAACTAACTGGATCAATTAATTGGAAGGTTTCTCTGAGAACAGAAGTTGCTATTATTCCAATCCTTGACTGCTCTATTTTTCTGCTTGTCATCATTTATCACTCACACGGTACAATTCAAGCAAGGTTGCAGACATGAATACATGAACAAGAAAGCTTAAGCAGACCTATTTAGCTAAGAGAAATAAACAGTGAGAAAAAACACCTTTCCAATTTTGGAAGTATTCAACTTCTTCTTAGTTAAGAATCGCATTAAGACTGAGTCTTCATCATCTAAAATGAAGATATCTCATGCTTAATCACAGTAATCCAAAGTTGCACATAATGCGATAAGAGCTGCTTTTATGATAACAAGACAAATCCAAATACCTGTTTTGAATACTCAGTTCCTAACTATTCTATACTCCTGTTGCAGGTAAGCTTATACAAAGATTGCTATGCTTCTCCTCAGATCTGTTATTAAGTGCATGAAAAGTCCAATCCTGAAAGGATTGTCTGTCTACTTTCATATAACTGTAAAACAAATTATGTGACAATTAGTATTTAGCCTAGTATATGTAATTCAGTTTTCTCATCAGAATTTCAGTCTTTCAATGCAGCAGAGCTTTTCACGTACTAAAATAAGAACATACGCAAAGCACAGAGATCACTACTGACTAGCATTTACCTTGTGTAGATCAGGCATCAGGTCCTGGTATAAAGAGCGGATCAGCATGTCTAGAGTGCGCTGACGTTTCTGAGAAAACGTTGGTGTTTCCAAGGTGGCTTTTTCCCCATTTATTACTAAAAATTGTAGAAAAGAAGGTATATTACTTTAATTGCTTTGCTACCTTCTACCAACTGCAGTTTGCTTCTGTACCAGTACACCCAGTTTTCTAGCAGTTACTTAGTTTTGCCTCCTTTTTACATGTTTTTAGTAAATAACAATCCTTCAAGCTTAAGAGGGAAGAAGGAGTAGTGGCAGAATTCAACAAAGCACCCCAATAACTACCTAACCAATATAAAAAATACAATATAAAAAAGACAGAATCAATGTAAGTATGAAACCAATTTAAATATTTTTGAGTAATATGTGAGATAAGTTAACAGTTAAGTTCCTGTCAGGTAAGAGAGCAAAATCATGATTATTATGCTAGGTATCTGTTATTGATCTACCGGTCACAATGACAAGACCAACAAAACCTTATTTAAGCTTTTTAAAGAAGTCTCTGGCCAACAAAACCTAGTCTTCAAGGGTAACCTCAATTATCTGGGTATTTTTGGGGAATATAACACAGTGGCAAAAGTCCTCCATCAGGTTCCTGGAATGCATTAAGGACTACTTCCTGTAACAAGCACTGGACAAGTAATTATTAAAAAAGTATTTCTAGCAAAAGGAAAACTGACTTACATTTAACCAAAACAAAATCCCTGAATTCCTGGTGATTTGTAAACACAGGTGGGGATGGAAGTGGAGGCCCAAAGAGAGGAACGCTTTCTTCTGAAAATATTTTTAGCCTGTTGAAAGAGCAAGTATTTATCTATATTGGAAGCCACTTTCAAAGTCTGTCATTTTTACAGATAAAAAAAAAGAACCACAAATGGTTATCTGGGAATGTCTGGGAGAAAAATTTCCATGAGCTGAATGAAAAAAACCTCATAAATGGGCACTCAATTGGAATTATTCACTTGAACCAAAACCATGAATTATTTACATAAATAATGAGACACTAAAATTATGACAGAACTTTGTAATTCTACTTACAGATTAATGCAGTTAACGGTGCTAGTAAAATCTAGTCCTTTCCAAAAAGAACAGCTGTTCCCCTGCAAGATGTTCTCATTACAGGTAAAGCTTTCTCTCTCACCTGTGCATTCACCACATGCATGAGAATCTTTCTGAGTAACAGAGCAAATACAACTGAATTTATATTGGGAACAGCAAATTCACTTTTGTTGAGGAAGCAAGACTGAGAACTGCTCCCATGAAAGCTGCACCTGCTGATTACTACTGATCAGCAAAGGATCCAGTATCTCATGAATGGCAGGTAACAAAACTGTGCATACAATATTCTCCAGGTACTAGAAACAAACCGTTCAAGGAACAAATTCAGAAGTCCCCTATATCTATCTTATTCAGTCTAGGTAAAAATTAGTCATTTATCCTGATACATGGTATGAAACGTTCTTTAGCTTGAGCAGAACAAGTGAAAAAAAAAAAAAATCTATGAAGTAGAAAAACAAAAAATGAAATATCATGCTGCTTGATTTTTTCTTGAGCTAGTTTTAGCAGTATGCCAGACAAATACAGTGATACAGAGTTCTACAGATATTTATAGCATTAATATTTAAATTTATTATCTGTATAAAATAAGAAAGCTATTTCTAGCAAAAAAATCCTTTGAGCTGTACATATCCATACATATAAAAAACTTCCAAATCAATCCAGGAATTACTGTATGTTGGAATCATGTGATCAGATCTGAGGAGCAGTTTCTGAAATCACAGGTTGTGGTTGGTACAAGTGGCCCAGATTATGTGTTGAAAGGAAAAGATTAAAATAAACATTCCTTCATGAAGACAGGTGTAGGGAGATGGGATTGTTCAGCCTGGAGAAGAGAAGGCTGCATGGTGACCTCACTGCACCCTTCCAGTACCTAAAGGGAGCCTACAAACAGGAGGGGAGCCAACTTTTTACACGAGTAGATAAAGGCAGGACAAAGGGAAATGGTTTTAAGTTGAAAGAGGGAAGATTTAGGTTGGATGTCAGGGGGAAGTTCTTCACCAACAAAGTGCTGAGGTACTGGTGCAGAGTTGTGGATGCCCTGTCCCTGGAGGTGTTCAAAGCCAGGTTGGATGGGGCCCCTGAACAGCCTGGTCTAGTATTACATATGGAGGTTGGCAGCCCTGCCTGTGGCAGAGGGGTTGGAGCTTGATGATCCTTGAGATCCCTTCTAACCTAAACCTTTCTATGATTCTATAAAAGTACGCCCTCAACATTTTTACTGTATTTTACTGCATTAATCTCTAGACAATAGTTAGGATCAACTACACGGCAAAAGTCATTTTGTTTATTAAAGCCTACACACAAGGCTGCAGAAAAGATTGCTGTTCAGATTCTGTTGAGACCTGACAGACTCAGCCTTGGACAGCCTTCATGTCTTACAGCTAACTGCAAAATACACTGGTGAAGAATACATTATTTACCAACAAAATTTCACCATGTTTTAAGAATGTGATTGTATAATCAATAGATATCAAGATATTATAATCACAATATAATTGTATAATTAATAGATATCAAGATGTTATAATCACAATATAATCAAGAGAATTAGGCAAAGTAGATAACGATCACAAAAAGAGAATAAGTGGAAGAGCTTACCCTTCGGCTGAGCTCACCACAAAACACCAAGAGAGGTGATCTCCAGAAGAGATCCTTCCCCTCTGGTAGCCAGCTCTTCAATAGGTCTAGGAGGGGTGCAGCCTGGCTCCACCCCTTCCGGCACCACAGGTGAATTGAATTGCCTTCACCTGTGCTTCTCTGGCTGACTCATGGCTCGCCTCAGGTGATCAATCAGAGGTTCAGGCCGCGACTCAGCAGTTCCCATACAGTGATATACAACTGTACTTCTCTTAAGTCGACTCAAGATTCCTAAAAGTGATCTGGTTTGCCTATCTACAACCAAACTCAGACCTGTAAAGAGACAATCCACAACCATCATATCACCACAGTTAATTAATGTTACTGATCTCTGCAGTCAGAATCTTGAAGACAAATCTTCCATCACTTTGTTTTGCTGTGCACACCTTAGCTTCCTGGATGTCATTATTCTAATGATTAGAAAGGAATAACTTAGAGCCAACTTACAGATACCTGCATCCATGTCCATACTTCGATTCTAGAAGTTCATTTGCCTTCCTGACTTGCAGGCAGGTGTTCAACACAAAATGTTTTCCCATTACGTCTAATCCATCAGAAATTCAGAATAATGTTATTAGTTACAATCAGCACCTACCTGTAACTATCATTCTCCTTATTATATCTCACTAAGGCAAAAATATCTGTCATCCAGTTAAGGAAATTAATCCATTACTAATGAAGTTCAGATATATTTTAATCACTTTTTTCCCTGCAGCAGATAGCAGATTTAATAACAGTCAAGTATAATTCAATGTAAAGACAAAATATTCTAGACTACGTACGTTCTATTTTTATAAAGGGAGTTTCATACAAAATTATTGCATTTGAACCATTTTAAAAAAATAGAGCTACTACTACTAACACAAACTTCTTGCTGCTTCATGAAGCCAAAAGTGTGCTACATTGTTTTGTGTTTGTGAGTTTGATAGACTTCAGATTAAAAATTCATTTAGATGATAAAAAACACCATCACCACACTGATTCCCACAGTCACTCGTGCTGAAACTCCCACTGAGAAAAAAAGAATCCCACAAAATAGTTCTGCTAGAAGGGTTCTAAGAAAACAGAGAGGAAGATATAAACCGAGAATACTCAAATATGCATTTAAGATGTTTAACAGTGTATTGCCTAGTCTTCAGCTGCCACTACAAAAGGGTAAAGATCTTCCCAAATGACCTAATCAAGTTCATATAGACATAAGGCACATCTGCCCCTCTGACGCATTATGAAAGCAGTTAATTCAAATAACAGAAAAACAACTCCCTGAAATAGCAGACAGTAGGTACATTTTTCAGTAAAGCCTCTCAATGGGAGGGTCATGTACCTCAGGTAAATAGAAATCCCTCAGAAGCCAGACTTTCATAAAGTTCTCAAGGACCAGTTTTCTGGTATTATGAGGCTAGTACCTCATATCTTTAATATTCTGCTCAATGTTTTCCATTCATCAACCCATTTATTTGGCACCATCTTTAAGCTGTTTTCCTCAACAACAAAGAGGCAGGCAAGCAGATCTTTCTGTTGCAGGTTCTACCCTAACCTACTTTCCAGTTATGTGTGTATGGCAATCATGCAAGTCTTCATGCTTCCTCAAAAACATTTCCAAGCTATATAATGACACAAGAACATCTATAAGCATCCTCACAAGTCTTCCCCACCCAGTAATCACTCTAAAAACAAACAAATTCATACGAAGTAAAGCCATGATGAATTGATCCTCTGTGGGGAGAGGCTCCAAGAGGCTCCACGTCAACAACCAAGAATATCTCTCTCATGAAAACAGTCATAAGTGAAGACAAGTTTACTACTTGAGCATGCAGTAAGCCTGGTACCCAGCCTGGTACCCAAATCACTAAGGAACAAGAGAAAATGGAAAACAGGAATGCTAGTCTGGCATAAGAGGTTCTGGCATCATGTGCCCCATGACCAGGAGGCTATTGAACCTTGAAATGTTTGTTAGAAATTAAAAAGAGCAGGGTTAATTAATTACATAATATGTCTTCTTAACATCAATAAAGGAAGAATTACATCTCTGTTTATGAACGCTGACGCGGATAAAGAGTTATACCGACTTGGTAAACTTTTACTATTTGGTAATATTTGGGTTGCTCTGCTAACTAAAGGATTTTGTTTGTTTTCGTTTTAAGTGTGGAATTTCTTTTGCTCTAGATGCTTCTTCCCTGTAGAGCAAATTAGATTATTATCAATCTAAAAAGAAAGATTAGCAAGAAAATTCCAACAACAGTGAGCAGTCAATCTGACAACTAGGTTTAGAAGTTGAAGCAGTGATCACTTTTAAAGACTTTTCAACAGAGCACATGTATAAACTTTTTCTTCTTTAATTACATGTTCCATTCAATCTGGTCTAAGAGATGCCAGAATGGGATATATAGATCACCTGGTATGATCCCCACGACAGTCTGATGCAATTGACAGCAGCTTTTTGGACCTACATTGTCTTCACAATGTTTTCAAACAGAAGTTTGAAAAATACATGCTGCAACAAATCTGGAAGACAGGTGGTTTAAGGTCTGAAAGTCTTCAGATACAGTGAACCAAAATACATAAATACCCAAAATAAACATCATCTGAACATGGTAAGATAATATTCAGTAATAGATGCAATCTTACTTAACATCAATAACAGAAATATTATTGTGAATTTATACTTTATGAAAATCTACAAAGTTTCATGAAATTGAGTTTGTGGAATGATGAAAATATATGCTTTTAATAAAAAGTAATCTGACATAGAAGTAGTCTTTTAAGCAGTCTGACACAAAAAAAATTATGCGGGAGACTTACAGCTACTAGTCAAGTAGTTGAAAGTAAAGAACGCACCCTGTAAACAGCAAATAGGAGGAAGTTAGGGTAAAATTAGAAGCAATATTAAAAATAAATAAAGACAATAAAAAAGTAGAAAATATAAAGAAAAAGATACGTGTAAAATGAGAGCGAATCATGGATGGCTTGAATGCTGGAGCAGTCTCTTCTCCTTCCTGAAATACGATAGTGACAATGTCATTTCCAATATGCCGCTTCCTTTCTACCTGAAAGAAAAAAAAAGGGGAAAGAGAAAGACAGAGGGGAAAAGGAGGGGAAGAGAATGACTTAAAGGAGATCAGTGCCTTAAAAATTCTGTGACAGAACTCTGAAACAATACTCTTAATCTGGATGCGGCTTACAAAACGTCAAGCATTAATAAAGAGTATCACAAATATCTTTAAATAATTAATACTATCTCCAATCATAAGCAAATAAGCTTAGCAATGTCATGTACTGCTTTCTTTTTTTTTTTCTTTAAATGAGCAGAGCTGTCAGAATTTACAAACATTAATATTCACAAACAGGAAATGGAACAACTAGGATTCCATAAAAGAAAATTCATTGCTTGAAATAAAAGGAGAAAAACCCCAATTCTGCATTACTCTTTTATAATAACTGAAGTCCTCTGGTTTATTCTGTGATCTTGTTACTCAAGGCAGAAGTATGAGAAGATTGACACTTCAGAAAGGGTCAAGTGATGAATGCAAGACAGCATATCTGAAACGTACCCAAGAGCCTACCTGGTCTTCCTATGAAGAGAACAATGGCATTGCCTCACAGCAAATGCACAAAGCTCACCATTAGCGCACTAACAAGCAGACTTTCTTTCAAACTACATTAATTATTACCTGAGTATGAGCTGTATGAATTATCACAACACTTTCATGCATACCATGCATGTCTAATTTTCAGCCTTCATAAAACCTTTGAAAGCAATGGCAACTGCAGCAGTGAAGCTCTACAAATCATCTGACTGTCAGAATACTTCATTATTTTTTAATTAATCAGTATTGATATTCTTTGCAAAACTCTTCATTTCTAAACTATGAACAGGCAAAAATATCCCTATCTTATTTTAAGAAGTTTTGGAGTCTTTGATTACTGGGAAAGGACGTGGGGGGGAAATGAGGAAAAAAAAGGGAGGATGAGAGAAATATGTACCTGCTGTTTGTTCTCTCTAGAATATGGTAGCATTGTTGAAACATGGAACATAATTTCATGCCCTTGGTAAACTGTATAGATGGAAAAGGTTCCTGTGGTATCATCTGCAAAGAAAGACAACGTTCTTAGCAGAAATATGTCCTTTAAGTTTCCAAAAGATTCAAAAATATTTCAGGTCATTCTTTCAAATTTTCTTTAGTCATCCCTTTTTCTGACCCATTTTAGATTTATACTTTTGCACAGATGTCTAAATTTGAGTTTGCAGTCTAATCTGTGTATTTAAACAGCTAAAACCTATGACATCCTTTACCAAGCCTCCTGAAATCACATATAGGTCTTAACACAGCCATAATGCCCTATCGTTATAAAGTATGTCAGGTTATTCCTTCATTCCCTTCACTTTAAAATACAAGTCATATAAATACTTCTCTTTCCCCAGTGACTTAAGCTAACCTGATTTACTGTTTTCTGGTGAAGCAGAACATTTAGTAAGCATATAAGAAGCCTGTTTTGAAATCATATTATTTCTAAAGTACACATATTATATCCATGCAATAAGCAAAAACAATTTAAATTGCAGCCTCTGCTTCTTTGCCTCTTACTTTTTGTGTCCAGTCCCCCTCTGTAGCCTGTCCAGCCTTTCAAAGTAATCGTGTCACCCAAGAGATGCAAAAATCTTTGAAAGCTTTCACTTCCAGTTTCTACACATGGAAAGGGGAACAGTTACAGTAGAAAAGCACGTGCACAACACCTATCAAAGATTAATCAAAATACAGGAACAAGTCCTGTATGCAGGACATAAGGACCAGAGTTAGTTTCTCCTAGTGTCATCCAAGCCTTCTACCCTGACAGAAACAGCCTCTCAGTCTTGCAGAATTATAGGAAAAGGATAATCATGCAACACTACAGAATCATCTCTTCAGCTAATGCCATAACACTATTTAAGCACATGCAAGAATGTAATAATGATGTGAAAGTATAAGAATGAGAAGTAGAAACAACAGGACCTTCCTCAGGTAACATGAGTCGCCTCCTTCAATTGCTTCTTTTTTCAAACCTTACTTTGTATAGTCTATTTCTAAGGAGAAAATTTCAGCATAATCCAAGCTGTAATAGTAGGGTTCTTATGGCAACCTTTTGTAGAAACAGAAGAGTCTATGCTACATTTTTCCCACCAAACACTAGCATGAAAACCTAACAAAATTACTGTTAAAATTATCATTATCTGTCATCTGGGCACTATCCTATGGTTTTCAATTGTATGAATAGAATAATTAAGGAAAAGGGGAAAGACTCACCATTGCTGAACATTTCATCATCTGTAAGCTGCCCATCCTTAGCATAAAGGACTCCAAATTTAAAATTCACAGATCCCTAAAAAATTAAACCAAAGATGATTAGCTAAATCAATCAATCTAAAGGCCTAAAATAAATGTTCACAAATCTAAGGTTTTTTAAAAATATGTAGCTTTGTGTATATCTTGCACATGTGAGTACTCACCTCATATCAGTTCCATTACATGTACAAATAGCAGACATCTAATAATTTACCTTTGACTATAGACTATGAATTACATAACATACTTTTCATAATGGTGCTTAAAGTGATTTTCAATTTCATATTGAAAACTAATACTACATTTTTTACTGCAATAAGCATCAACTTGAAATTTGTCACAAATATGTTAGGACAAATATTTCAAATACAATGCTCGATTCATTGAATAGATCTATGAACTAAGAGTGTAAGCTTACATTTACCTCTTGCTCTTCAAGAACCAATAAATCCTGTAAACAAAACACTATGTTTAGCACTCTCATATTAAAGACAACACAAATCATTACATTATTGCATATTTGTTTTGTTTTGAAATGGCCAGTTCAACTGATAAAAAAATTTTAGTTGTAAAACACCAAAACCCCTTCTCTCATTTATCCTGCTACTGTAACAAAGCAGAAAAAAATATTCACAATGTTTTATTTTCCAGAAAATAATAAAGAAAAGCAAAGAAACATGGGAAGTCACAACCTACCTTCTGTATATCAGGATGAAAAATTTCCCTTGGCCCTTTCTCAAATTTCTCAAGACTCATTGCGCTGAAATGCAAATGAAATGCTGTTTAATAGAAAGGAAAGAACACATTTTCAACATTAAAGTATTATTAATTGCAGTTATGCCTCCTATTGAAAGGAATTGTCCAACGAGTCTGCCTAATATGGAATATTTTGCGGAACTGTTATTTCTTTTTCAAAATGCTAATCTCTAAGATTTCCTAAACTTCTTTCGGATTTTAAGAACAGAAATTACTAAGGCCTTGGATGGAAGTGAGGATTATGTTTACAGCATTTAACACATATTCGAAATCCATTATCCTTCACTTCTGCTTTATATGTACCTACTAAAAGCATTCTATATTACTCAATAACTGTATAATCAATAGATATCAAGATATTATAATCACAATATAATTGTGTATAATCAATAGATATCAAGATGTTATAATCACAATATAATCAAGAGAATTAGGCAAAGTAGACAACGATCACAAAAAGAGAATAAATGGAAGAGCTTACCCTTCGGCAGAGCTCACCACAAAACACCAAGAGAGGTGATCTCCAGAAGAGATCCTTCCCCTCTGGTAGCCAGCTCTTCAATAGGTCTAGGAGGGGTGCAGCCTGGCTCCACCCCTTCCGGCACCACAGGTGAATTGAATTGCCTTCACCTGTGCTCCTCTGGCTGACTCATGGCTCGCCTCAGGTGATCAATCAGAGGTTCAGGCCGTGACTCAGCAGTTCCCATACAATAACCTACTCTGGTTTGTAAGCTTTTCTTCTGTCTCTTCTAAAACAATACAAAAATCACAGAATGGATTGGGTTGGCAGGAGCCTTGGAGATCATCTACTTCCAACCCCTCTGCCACCAGCAGAAACACCATCCACTAGCAAATGTTGCTCAAATTCCCGTTCAACCAGGCACTGAACATTTCCAGGCATGTGGATAAGCAGCAATTAAAATAAAAAACTGTCAGTTTAGCATAAAATTGAAGTAACAGAGATACAAAAACAGAACAGAAAAACAGAAGAAAGGGTATTTAAATGAGAAGCATGATCAACTGCCTCAATAAACAGAAATATTCAATACGCTCCTGCATTTATTATGGCTTTGTCCATTTATTTCAGTACAGAACACAATCTGTCAGTACAGAACACAATCTGTCTAGAATGCAGCAAACTAACATGTATGTCAAGTTTGGTGCACCTTTCCATTTTTATTTAAGCTGGATCACAATGTAGATGAGATGTGCTCCATTTCCTTTTCAAAGTGATTACAATGTCCCCATTCATTCACAACAAATGGGCTTATTAATACATTGATAACTCTTTGGAACAGTTCCTACCAAGATTCACACTTGGTGGAAACAGGGTAAGGTGCCAAAGGAATATTAATCAGCTCTGAGGGAAGGCTCAAGGAACCTTCTTAGGGGCAATGGAGTACTCAGATTTATTTCATGCCTCAGTGGGCAAAAGGAGGCAACATTCATCCAACTGATCCCAAGCAGCAAACACGCTGGGGAAAACAAGGAACAGGGGTCTAAAACAAGCTTCCATTTTCCTTCAAAATCTGGAGGATGGAACACCCATGTGAAGGTGTTCCAATAAATGAGTAATAGCGTACCTAACAGAAGCCAAAATTTCTTGCATCTGGGATGTCTGAATAAGACTGTGCATCTTGGTGAGAGGATGGGACAGGCTGTGTTACTAAGTGATGTTAGGAAGTGATGTTTCAGCAACTGGTGGACAGACATGGAAAATCAGGTGTTTACACAGGTACAGAACACAGTGCTGACAACTAGGGACAGTGTTCACTCCAGACCTACAGAAGCTGTGAGGGGATTCAGTTCATCTTAATGAGGAAGGTAGCGGATGTCTGAAGTGTTCTCAACTCATCATCTTGACATCAAACCAAAGCCACAGGTCAAGAGATAAAAAAATTTCAATAAGTGAGCCCCAATGTTCTGCCTAGCCTCTCTGGCAAAATCAGTGGACTGGGGCTTCTCATAAAACTTGGAAAGTTGTGGAAAAACCAGATCTGGTGCTTCTGACTTCACAGTATATGCTCTACTCCCATAATGTTTCTCTTACATCAGCATTAGCAGTCATATCCAGTGAACCAGCCTCTGAGCAAGAGACATTTGCCTTCACCCTGTTATGTATCAAAGGTTTTGGAGATCCAATGACTGCCCATTCATCTGACATATACTACCTGCTCAGCAAAATGAATACAATTGTTACGAGTTTCTAGAGGAAGTACAATCCTTGCATAAGTCGAAGGCTGAATTTGAAGTTTTCAGAGAGGACCTTGAGAAAATATGCCACATAACTAGATTATAAAAACTGCAGGTGAAATCTGAATAAACACTTTGCAGAAAGGGGTTCTGATGTTTCAGTTGATAATATAGTTAAAAGAAACAGAAATGGTATTGGGCTGCTCTCTTTATATTCTCTTCTGTCAGAAAAGTGGCAGAACAGTATAAGTGTGCTCATACTGACTGGCTGGGGGAAAAGAATCTTTTAGTCTCACTGACAGGGTGTATAAAGCACACAAAGTGTGGATTTGCAAGGAAACAATCACTTGCAGATAAAATTCTTGGTTTCTCCCTTGTTTGCTTCCTCTTGTCAGTGCCACATAATCTGCTCTCTAGTCAAAATCTGCTGCTCTTTACTCCTGCTCCTGGCCTGTCTAATTTAAGTAGGTCGTTCTTCTCAACCACTGAAGTGTTGAGAATCAATCTATTGTAAGTTGTCACTTTGTCTACTATAGGGCAGGTATTAAAAGTACGTTTTGCTGTCCTCGGTGACGAAGATTTGCAAGCCTATCATTCCTGCTTTTTAAAATCTATCATGAAAATAATGAAACAAGTTCTGATTTACAGTAAAAGACGAATATCAGATAATTTACTTGTTAATACATACCTTAATATAGATTTCACTGATAATGTTTTTGTGGGACTGTAAGGGAGACATATTTTCTGAGTACCCTATAAAGTGGAAAAACAAAAAACAAACAAACAAAAAAACAAACAAACAAACAAAGCAAGGAGGCATTACAGGTTATACCGATTTTTCTATATATTAAAATAGGAATACTGATAAAAAAACAATTAGGTAAAATGCAAAGATCAAGATCATACTAGCTTTACTTAGTTATATTTCCTACTGAAATAAGCTGAATGTGAAAAGGCATGGATGATGCAAAATTTTTTTTTCTCAGTTCTGACTACGCTGGCATGGAGGAACTTCAAAAGGAAAGTTACAATGCAACGCTGTACTGAAAGGTATTAAATCAATTGTTTAGATATAGGTCATTACGAAGAGGTCCATGGGAAAAAAATCCTCAAGATATCAATGAAACCAGTATCACATTTAGCTATGTTCTTATTATCATATAAAAATATCAGTATATCTGTACTATGAAGTCACTATATAAATTCATCACAAAACATAAATCAAAAACAATTTAGGCAACATTTCTAAAAATAATGCAGAACTCCACGTAAGAAAAATTACAAAATAACTACTGTCATAAATCTCTGTCAGAAAATTTAGTGTAAGTTACCCACTAAACTAGCTTAGTGCTATCTACTAGGGTAGAATTTTACATTCTCCTACAAAATAAAAACTACATACTAAATACTGAAATTCTGAAGAAAGCAGAAAAGTCTATGATCAATGCATCTAAAACAAACAAGAATACAAATGAACAAAAAAGGCAAAGCAACAATTAAGTATTTATTTCTTACCGTTTTTCTCCAAAGAATTGAATGGTATTGAGGAACACGCTGATTATTTTGGTCAGAAAGTACAACAGACAGAAAGAAAGGGTTCTTCTCTGAGTCTGTACCTATATAATTTTGATGAACTATTGGAAGAAAAGTAGTATTACCCACTGTCAAGAAAACACACATACTCATAAAATACACAAAACATAGAAAATAAACGCTTATTTATGTAAATATTTATTTATACAAGATACGCATTAAAAGACAAGAGAGGTATAGATTTTAAGGCCTAGAAGGACTTAAAAATCTTCCTGTTCATTAGCAGGATTTCTTCTGCTTACAGAACCACATCCTCTGTCTTCAAGTTAAAAATACATGAAATAAGAACTTGCTTTCAATACAGGACAGAAAACACATTAATATTAAGTTAATACCATCCTTTTTCAATACATAAATAACAGGAATTCAAAGATACCTTTTTTTTTTTTTTTGCACAGAACAAAAATTCAGGCAATTCACAAAAACACTAATACCTTTTCCTAAAAAATATTTGAAATACCATCTTGTATAATACTCTGGATTTTCCAAATGCACATCTGTCCTGTGCCATGTACCTGGAGTGTAGCCTGTATTCTGAAAAAGAATTGGGAGACAGTTCAGTCAAATGCTGCACTAAAAAAATTGAGAACGTAACAGTTGAAGAAGCTACCAAGCATGGTCAATTCACTGGAAGAATTCTAGTTGTACACCTTTTTTCTTTTTTTCCAAAAGCCAAGAATTATTCTGAAGTGAGTTGTTGTATAGTTGAAATTAAAGCATTTTTCTTCTGTTTTTTAAATAACTGCAGTCTTCTCGCTTCATATCACTATTACAGGTAATACCTTAGCATCCCACTGAAAAGCAGATCTTTAAATATTTAATTTGAAGACCTATGTTTTTAAAATTTAAGAGTAAATGAATAAATAAACAGATTTCTCTCCTCACAAGTTTCATTTTCTCCTTTCTTCCCAAAATATTTCTCAAGGACTCCTAACTGGAGCAGATAATGCTGTAGAAATTCAGCATGCCTCACTCCTTTTCCACTACGAGCATTCATAAGGAATAGGCCATGTCTATTTATCGTGTGGTATTCACCAGTCACTCAGAGAATCTATCTATAATAAAAGATAAAGAGCTTTTGAACTGCATGAAACTGAACTGAAAATCCAATCTATAGAACACGACCCAAGAGGGATTCAATGCAGAATACCTAATTTAATGCTGCACCCAATGCTGATGCAAACTAATAACTTATGATTCATATCAGTTCATCATAAGTTTACCAAGACCTTACATACTCTTCAAGACTATGAAGTTTTCTTTCTTCAAATATTATGGTGCTATTTACAGCCAAAAATGATTTTCAAAGGAAGATAGCCTTCCCCCCTCCTTCCCCCCCAATTATTTAAGGAGAAATCTAAGTGTTGCTGGAGAACTTAAGGTGAATGACTCTTTCAGACTCCACTCAGCTTCTTCGTCTCATATTTAAAAATAAACATAACTGCCTAAACACATCTAGGAGAAAAAAGAAAAAGATGCTATACCTTCATCACACCAAGGAAAAAGTTACAAAAAAAAAAAAAACAACAAAACAAGCACAAAGGGGACACTGGTGTAACATGGTGAATTAGGGACTGCAGAGGATAAAATGAATATTTTTCTTCTAATTTCATAAGCTGAGCAAAGTATTACAAAAAAAAGGAAATATCATCTCTTTCCTTAAAAATTAAATTGTTGAGATTGTGTACTCCTCAACAAATACTTAAGCTAATCTTGGGGGGTAACAAACACCATTTCCCTCCTCTTGGATTCTTACATTTTCTTATTATTTAACATCCTTCAAGATCACTCTCCTAGTAATTGACTATAACTACTTCTTCCAGTTGAGAAACTGAAACTGAATTATTTTTTCAGCTTTACATATGTTTAACCACTTACCTCATCAGCGGAGCCATTTTCCACACGGAATCGTCCAGCTCTCTGAATAGCTCCATCAGCATCACTAGATATAAGCTATGAGAGAGTTTAAGATAGAGTTTCTAGTTCCAAAAATATCCATATGATCAGCAACCGAATCTTACTGGGTTTCTTTTTCTTCCAGGCGTCCTATCAAAACTCACAGGGGAATCAGCACAGCTGCTACCCATCTGACTACAGATTTGCAATGATCCAAATATAACTCTAAGGACACACGAATGGGAGAGCTATACACTCATCTAGCAGATCCTAACCTAGTTCTTTTAGTTCTTTCCTTCCCAGTACACAGAGGCAAGTACACATAAAATCAGACGCATGCATGCTTACGTTAACACATAGGCAAGCACACAGTTTTTAACTCGAATAATTGCACATGCCTTATCAAATAGAAACATAATATTTTGCAGTTTTCAACTTACAGGAGGAACCATAGATCAATTTCAATGTTTCTGAATTTTTTTTGAGGGGGGGGAAGGGTGGGGGAAGGTTTGAGTGGTGTAAACAGGATATTTACATAATATTTTGTGCCCCATTAAAATGAAAGCTTCCCAAGTAAGGTTGTAAAAAGATTACATAGCACACACCTCACACATCTGTTCTGAAGTCTCTTTTTACTACCCTTTAATTTTTCTAGTCCAGCTTAGAATAAGCATTTTCCAAAATAGATGCAATTTTTTACCTGGAAATGAAAAGGATTTGAATTCCACATTAAAAGCTGTTTAAATTAAAGGATGGGCAAACAAACTTACAAGCTCCACGGATCCATAGTGCTTCCTGCTGAACTCTCCACGTCTGCAACCAAGATCTTCAGAGACTGAGCTGGAACAGAAATGCTTCATCAGTATACACATTCAACAAGCCCTAGATCTCATGCAACCCTACACACTACCATCAACAAAAGCCATCCCTGCTGAACAAGGTTTCCAGTGCATAAGCTTGTTATTGCAGGGAAAACTCCAATGTGCACAGCGTAGCAGCCATTGCAGTCTGGCTTTCATACTACTGCCAAAAGAACAGAAATCTCTGTGTCTTGACTGTAAGCAAAATCTACTACTAAACTAAATATCTAGTCATGATGTGACCAATTTGGAATTCCAAAGTGGTTTATAAATGCAAAACTTTGCGCTTCAAACAGGACAACTGCACTATGTTCAATGAGCTATGCTCAGCATGCTGCTAAATATTTTTTTTCCAGAAATTCTTTTTTTTTTTTAGACTATATGCAGCAATTAAACAATTGTTTTAATTCAAAAGCGTAACAAAGGAACAGCATTGACAGGTTTTCTCCACCTATAACGAAGATAAAACTGTCATGCAAGCAAAAGGAGACACTGAATTTCACATTCAAAGTCTACATGCACTAGCGTTTACCATCTTACAACATTACATCTCATTAAGCAAATCAGCATGTATTTCGCAAGCTCAAAACAGAGGGCAAACACCTCCTCTAACTATAGACACTAATCCTTCCATATTTGTAACAGAAGGCATAGTTGTATATGTTAAAGCAAAATAAATATTTAGATGCAAGTACAACAAGAATTTTGACTAATTAGTCAGTGCCAAAGCTAGCAACTCAGTCACACCATCATATTTCCAAACTTACTTTCAATTCACTCTACTGTCAGCTTTAATGGAGATCCTTTTTTTTTCCAATTAAAATGACTCTATTGCCTCTGAAGGCAATGAAGCCACAGTTCTGATGTCTAAGGTACACATACATTCCACAATAGCAATAAAACCAGTCGCCTATAGGAACTGAGGATAATCCACATTAGATTCGATTTTAAAAAGCTTCAAAACAATCACTCAGTTGGAAACACAATTACGTTGAAGTACTAACAGCTGAACACTAGTCCTGGAATCAAAGTTGACCTCAGATGAATCCCACAACCCAGCGTTATGTATCATCAGTATCTGAACATTAGTAAAATATGTGCAATCATTAGTGAAATATGTATCTTGAACAAAACATCTCATTAGCAAGAGATGTAGCTTAGCTAAAGCACTACTAGAACATACTAACCTTTCCTTGTTTAGAAGCATTGTTTCAAGGCCTATGAGTACACAAACATACTTGACTCCTCCTTGAGCCCTGGCCAGGCTTTAGGTGAAATCCAAAGGGAGAATGAAACCAGATGTTTCCACCTAATTGTCAAGTAAACTTGGTTATTCAACAATTTAAAAGCTGGACTCCCTTGCAGCAAATCTGGAGACCTCACCTACGAGTGGGTGCACTGCACAGAACCTCCCAGTTGCTGGAAAAGGCTCTAAATCCTGGCTGTAACCAGGGCTCCCCAGCAGCTGGGGATCTGAATAATGGTAAAGTATTAGTGCAATTGGAAACGTGTATTTCTTAATCACTATCCTCACGTAGTAACAGTTAGTTGCACTGCCTTGTTCTGTTTTATTCTTGCTGCATAATTTCATTTATTAACTCATTGTTTTAAACTTAAGTAAACACACTTCTTTAACTTGGTGTCTGAGACCTTCGTGCTTACCTCGTCCACTGGCAAAACATACATAAACACAAATACAATAACTTAAGCTTTCAGCTTTTGGTGACCTGCACAACAAACTTATTTTGAACGTGAACAGCCAATAATCTTAAGTTTCCCGAGGATCACAATGAAACACCTTCCAAGAAAACAGTACAATCTCATACTGGGAATATGCACAGTAGAGAAAAGTCCGCAACAGAAAAAAAAAAGAAAAAAAGAGCTTGGATCCTTGCCCTTGCCACCAAACCAACTACAATTTGACCTTACCTATGATGCACTTTTTCATAGACACAAATATTAAGGAATCTTATCTGACAGAAAATAAACATTGAAGCCTGTGGTCCAAAAAGCTTGCGCTGTAACCAAAAACAAAAACTCCTCCTTTTTCCCCACTGCAAAAAAAGAAGCAGACAAAAAGGAGAGAAAGAACTCTTTGGGCAGCTTGTACCAGTGCTCTATTATCCACACACAAAAAATGCTTCCTGATCTTTAAACAAAAGCAGCTCTCGCACTCTAAGGGGTCAAATGCATCTTGTCTTGTCATGAGATGTTTGTTAGTCCACTTTTCCAACTTGTTGAAGTCTCTGGATGGCAGCACAACCCTGTGGTTTATCTGCCACTGCACAGTTGTTTTTTTTTTTTTTTTTTTACACCTGCAAACTCATTGAAGGTACATTTTGCCCAGACATCCAAATCATTAATGAAGATGTCAAACACAGTTGGATTGATTCCTAGAGTACTCAACTAGTCACTTGTCTCCAACTAGACTTTGCACCACTGACCACAACACTCTGGGCCCTGCCATTCAGCCAGTTTTGGTCAACATTATTGTGCACCCATCCAGCTCACACATCAAGACAGATGAAACAATCTTAAATGGAAATCAAAAAAACACCAGCTTTTTTTAGATCACAAAGCATGAACATACATAATTAAGTTCTAGTTACAGTGATCATGCACTGTAAGAACTTCACATGCAATACTTTTTTTTTCCTAGACTTACTACTGTTGCTACTGGACCTGTGAATTAAACTTCTCCTGTAATAGCCCCACACTACTGCACAGAAGTTACAGCAAACAGCAGCACTTACGGCCCTCAGTCTGCAACACAGAGAAGACGGCCCAGAGCACTGCAAATCCTGAATGCACCTGTGCATGAACCACCACCTATTACAGTTAACTCTCACTTGTTGTTTTGTAGCAATAATTTACATATTTGAACAATCAAAACTGCTTCAGATGCTCTCACTTTACTCTCATTTTACACATCCAATTTACAAGGTGTGTGCTTTACACTGTTTCACACATGCATAGTCTTTCCATCATCTGAAGGGAAGAATGAAACAAACTTTACTTCAGTATGACTTGCAGTAAAGAAAAAAATTGTAACTATTACTCCAGAGTTTTCATCTTTTCTTACAGAAGGTAACATACAAATTAATTTCAAGATTAGCATCTATGCAGACAAAAATAGGGACATCTGATTTTTTTTTTTTCTTCCACGTAGAACAAGGAGTTCTCAAGTTTAATTTCATACAGGATTAAGCCTCTTCTCACATCTTGGGGAGAATTTGGAAAGCACGGATCAGAAATTGTACTCCATGCATTAGGTTTTAAGTTCCTGCATTCTGCAACTCATGTGAAACTTGGCATATACTTCATGAAGGAAACTGAATACCTCAATTGCAATGTATTTTAAGACACTAAGTATTTTACATAATATATTGACTTTTACAGAAAAGTTGGATAAATGTAGTGCTAGGATTTTCTCTGTGTACTGCTTTTGTTCTGTACAATTCATTTTTGTGGCTAAGTGTGCTTGGAAATTACTGTAAAAGCAATTTTAATCAACAAGCATTTGCCGCTGTCAGTAATGGTGGTAGATGAGCAGACTTTGCTGTTGCTGACCTTTGAAATTCTAAGTTCAGTCTCTGACTAAGTAAAAAGAAATACACAGATTCATAGAATGGTTTGGGTTGGAATGGACCTTTAACATCATCTAATTCCTACAGCAGAGGGGTTGGCAGGGATACCTTCCACTAGACCAAGTTGCTCATAGCCCCATCCAGCCTGGCCTTGAATGCTTCCAGGGTGCGGGCACCTACAACATCTCTGGGCAACCTGTTCCAGTGTCTCACAACCCTCACGGTAAAGAATTTCTAACCAGCATCTCACTCAAATCTACCCTCTGCCAGTTTAAAATCATTTCCCCTCATCCTGTCACCAAGCGAGAAAAGAAAAACAGTAAGAGTCACTAACACAATAAATCTTGTCAAGTTTTGGGGAAGCCTAGCAGTGAGGAAACTGTTTTATGGGGCTGACCTGATTCCAGACACAACACGAATTCCGAAGTCACCACAAAGGGAATCACCAGTCTACTATGCTTTCAATAACATCATCCACACCCGGGTAATTTTCAGAGAGTTTCATAAATTGTGATAGGTCCACAAAACAGAAAAAAAAAGTAAGCTGAGTTTATAAAATTGAACTCCTTCCTGCCTTAGTAAAAGCTAACCTCAAAGTGGATGAAAGTAGAGAAAAGTGTCATCGTATGAATTATCTGAAGAATAAAATTGGAGAATTATGATGGCATTTTACAGCTATCTGCATACCCACAAACTAAATCCTATACTTCAGCATACTTAAAGTTGAACTCCTCTCACAGCATATTAATTCTGAGAAGATAATATGGTCAGATGCTAATTAAAAGCTTCAGAAGTAAAACACAAAGTGTTATTCAAAAATAAACATTGTACAACAAGAAAATTGTTACAGGTATATAACAGAGGAGTACACTAAGGTAACAAAAGCATAAGTTATCAAAGCAAAGGAGGGCATGACTTCAAAACAATTAATTTACAAATACAAAAATGTAAAATAGATATTAACATATATGCCTGGTAGCCCATAATAAAGAGCCTGGGAAGTAACAGTCTGAGTATGGTTATTGGAATTTTTTATTTTTAATTTTTTTTGCATTTCCACAATAACAAAAAGTTGATTGTATTATTAAGGGTACTATCCAAGTGCCTCTTCAACACCAACAGACATGGAACATTAATGACTTCACTAAGAAGCCCGTTACAGTGCCTGATCACTCTCACAGTAAAGAGATTTATTCAAGCATCCAGTCTAAACCTCTAACGGCACAGTTTTGTGCCACTGCTATGGTTACCAGGAAGAACAGATTGTCACCTCACTCTCCGCTTCCACTCCTCAGGATGTTTTAAAGAGCAATGGAAGTAACTTCTTAGTTCTTAGTAGCCTTCTTTTCTCCAGACTAGACAACCTGAGTGTTCTCTGTCTGTCCTCACAGCA